ACAGAGTGGTCAATGTCTGGAATACTCTACCTGACTCTGGTTTCTTCCCCAAACCCCAAAAACTTTAACATTAGACTTTCTACTATTGACCTCACCCCTTGCCTAAGAGGTCTGTAGGGGACGTGCATAAGCGCACCAACGTGCCTACCATCCCTGTCCTATTGTTTCTTTTATTTTTCTTATTATGTATCCATGTATTCATAACTATGCTTATTTATACCTATTATCTTATAAGCAATTGACAAACCAAATAAAATAAATCAATAAAAATCTTAATGGAAAAGTCCTGCAGGGTATGAGTGCCCCCTTGAGGTATATGTTTGTATGACATAACCTATTTTTAAGACTTTTCCGTTGGCCACTGTTCTCTTCTTTTCCTGGCTTAATTAAAGTCACCATAGGCAGCCAGGCAGCTGTAGATTTAGGATTAAATTGGGAGGGAAGGGGCTTGGAAGGATTGCTTATTGCTTGCCCTTTAAACTCTTGGCCCATGAATTGCGCAGTTATTTATTCTATGTGGAAAAACAGACATGCCACATGATTGCACCTGTCTCTTTTGCTCCTTTATACGGCAGCCCCTGGGTAAGGCTCCAGTGTCCAATCAAGATCTTCAGTTACACATTCCCATCAGGGTTACAGCTTCTGGCTGGACTATTTCTACTAGGCAATAAGAAGCAGGTGGCATGCCCAAAATAAATGCAGCCAAGAAAAGAGGGAGAGAGCCTAAACTGGCCTTCTGCCAAGAACGTAGCCTTCAACTCCCAGAATTCGCTATGGCTACCAGAGAAGCTAGGTCTTCTGGGAACTGTAGTCAATATATATGATGGATACCAAGCCCGGGGGAAACCTTTGGAGGCTATAGTGTCCCAAATTCCCATCTAGCAATTAGTTGAGGATTCTGGAAGTTGTAGTCCAAACACATCCAGGCAGAAGAAGGGTGGTGACGATTGGTCTAAGGTTTGGACACCTTATCAGGCAGGATTACAGCATGCTCAAATCCAACCCAGCCAGCTTCTTAAAACCCTCTGTTTTGCCAAGCCTCATATATCACAAATATCAAGACTGTATATCCAGGGCTACGCATATTTTTATCCCCAAGTAGTCAAAGTCTTTTATCAAAGCGAATATTTTCTAGAAGAATTTATTATGTGAACTGAAAAACTTGTTTACTGCTTTTGCATATTTTATTTTAGGAATTAAGCACAGTACCGATTCATCATATGACATTCTTGTTCAGCCTCGTTTCCCTTTGAGATATTAATAAACCATTGTCAGACATCTCAGGAGGTTGCATTGTACAGCAGACACCAAATGTCTCTGCTTATACAGTGCAGACTCAACAGAGAGAGAGGGAGGGAGGGAGGGAGAGAGAGAACACATTTCTTTGGAAAGTCTTACAGGAGGCATAAGTCTTTGAGCAGATGTTTCAGATCCATTCATATCCTAAACCACTGGTTTTTCTTCATCTTTCCCTCCTCTATCACTGGGTTGCAATCCTTCAAATCCAAAGAGATAAGAAACAATATGGTATAGGTATTCGCATTAATTATAGAGTTGTAGACAGAAATATACTCGATGTGTATTGTCTTTGTCAACTTAATTCCATCTTAGCTGTCAGTTTCCCGATCCCCCCCTGATGCAATTCTAAATGGCTCTAGACAGACAGCTGGAGATATACAGTCAAAAATAGTTTTTTGCTCAAGACCATCTCATTTGTGCAAATACTTTGTGTATGTATATCCTAAGAAGTGCAAATTATTCCTATATGCTTTTTCTTTCTTAATTTTCCATGTATAGCTGAGTCCTGAAATCCTTGAATGAAGCAGAAATATAACAGATGCACAACCAGCCGCCCCCAAATGAAAAAAAACATACACAGATTTCCTATGCAGCAGGAGATAATGAAAAACACTGTTGTTAACAGACCAGGCACCTAGTCATACTTTACTGTGGTGGATGTTCTGTCTTGCCTTGCCAACTCAAAATGGAATTGTGAAGTAGTATGGAAGGAAAAGAAAATAGATTGCTCATTAGCCTCAGATAGTATCTAAATTATCTGAAATGTATTAATACTAATGACAACTGTAGAACTCTCCTGCCTTATTCTTTAGACTTTAACATGAAATGATCAATTATATTAATCCCTAGGGTGATATTTTAGGTATATATTTAGGTCCACAGTCCCAATCTTTGTGGCTTGGTGGCCTAGCGGGCAAGGGGGAAAGGGGAACCAGGCCAGGCGAGCAGTAGGCTTGATTTCTGCAAGCAGTGGGCTGGTGTGCACACGCATGTGTGTGTAGCACAATTTGCACAAGTTGAGCTGCACGTGAATGTACACGACGTGCAGTGGCCCACTGCTCATGCAGATTAAGCCGCCCGTATATGCACGCCAGTCCACTGCTCACACAGACTGGTTCTGAATAGTCCACGGCCCAATAGTGAGCCCTGGGTTGGTGGGGGGATGAGGATTCCTGATTTAGGTCACTTCCATATATTTTTTCTTCTGAGACACATTAGACATTTTTTTTGTTCTCCCTAAGCAATCTTTTCTTATTAATGAAGATGTTTCAAGCTTTCCTATGGAGATGAAATTAGTTCACATTTCCATTCACAAGGGATTATAGCTGTTGGGACTGTAGCACCTAGGCCCAGAAGTAGCAAATCTAGAAATCCAGGTCCAAAACATCACTACTCATTTTTACAATTCTCTATTTGGAAACACATCAGGGCTGGATCAAATTACAAGCTGTGTAGTAGTTGAGTAGAGTAGACTAGCTCCCAAATCTGTAACACCTAATTGTCCAACATAGAGTAACGATGATGAAATGAAAGCTAGTAACATTTGGGCAGGAAAGCAAATTAATAAATAGTATTTTGTGGTTGCATTAACTACACCTGGGAGATTTGGATGAATCATGAAGTACACGGAAAGTATGAAACAAAAGCAGTGTGACTGAAAAATCAGTAGATAGATGATGATGATAGATAGATAGATAGATAGATAGATAGATAGATGATATATAGATAGATGATAGATAGATAGATAGATAGATAGATAGATAGATAGATAGATAGATAGATAGATAGAGAGAGATAGAGCGGCAGACAGACAGACAGACAGACAGACAAAGGAAAATAAAAAACAAATCACACATATTAAATTGGTAGTTGTGCAGTCTGCAATACAGAAGCACAGAAATCACAAGGGAAACTACAGATACAAGGCTGATGGGATGAGAACACTAGAATGAGAAACTGGCAGCATTGCTACCTTAGCAACATCTTACTCATTTACAGGAGAAAGTAAAGTGCAAGCTGTTATACATGCAGGCACCCAAATGCATATAAAAACCAAGTATGATGTACAGTCAGTTGATAGCAAGATTTAGGAAACATGAGCCAAGGAGCGTGTCAGCACAAATTTATTGAACTTGACTTTTTGTGAAAATAGATTTGAGTGCATCAGTGTACAAGGAACTCCTAGCATTTGAGAATTCTGCACAATAACATGTATGAGTTACTCTGCAAGGTACGAACAGGCAGAGTAAACTGATGGGAAAAAGCAAAGAGATGTAGCAATCATTAACTGAATATACACACTATCTGGACACTAAAATTGCATCACTTGATAGGTATCTAGCTATAATTCCTTGACTATTGACCATGTTGTCTTTATGATAGTTCAATTGTCATCCAAAATGCCTGGAAAGCAACCAATTGCCTACCCTGATTTATGGGGCCGCTTGAATAATCGCCTCCAGTGATCTGAGAAAAAGGTAAAAAGAGCTTTTTCTCCAGTCCCTTATGAGACAGAGTGTTCAGGAAGGCAGTTTCAAACATTAAAAATACAACCCAATAAAACATTATTTCCATGTCTCTCCCTTTACTAAAGATTTGTCTGTTCCAGATGAATGTTGAGTTTAGACCTTTCTATTTTGCATCAAAATCCTGGGAGCAATATACAGATCAGTCAGTGGCCCTTTGATAAACAAGTAGCTTCCCCACTTTACTGAGCTCTTAGGAACTTTGCATGCTCATATCGTATAAACAAACAGAGGCATGGCAGCAGAAATGCTGCTTAAAATTAAAACATGTAGTGCATCAGATCTCTGTCATAACTAGAGGCAGAGGAGGGTATAGAAGGAAACAGTGCAAAAATAATAATGACAAAAAAGTCTGGCTAGTGGATATTGCAGTACCCGGAGACCGCAGAAGAGAAGAAAAAAAAATCACAAAATAAAAAAGGCCTGTAAATAAAAGCAGAACAACTATGGCCAAAGAAAGCAAAGATAGTAACAATAATTACAGGCCCCTTGGAGTAATTCCAAAACGTCTGGAGCACCACTTGAATGACATCAGCATTAACCAAATCACAATCCATTGCAAAAGGCACAGCATACGTTGCAACAACACCCTCAATATTATTCAACAATTACATCTGCCTATCCCGGGTCCTTGGGAAGAATGCGATGGGTGGACAACAATGCACAATGCAACCTAAACATCTGGCTACCAACCATAATTTCATAATAGAAGGAAAGTAGTGGAAGCGGACAAGAGACAGCCTGGTGCAGTGGTTAAAGCACCAGGCTAAAAACTAGAAGGCTGTGAGTTCTAGTCCCACTTTAGGCACAAAGCTTGCGGAGTGACTTGGGGCCAGTGACTCTCTTAGGAGGCAAGCAAGGGCAAGCTACTTCTGAAAAACTTTGCCAAGAAAAATACAGGCAGTAGACCAGGCAGTTGCCAGGCATCACCAATAGCTTGAAGGCACCACAACAAGTGGAAGAGGATAACAAAAGTGATCTAAATATCAGTTCAATTTAAGGGAGCAGAACAATTTCGTAGCCTCCTAGCAATTGACAGCCAATACAGAAACTGAGGGGTCCTTGAAGCTCTCTCAGCTTGGTTGTTTTCTTGCAGGTGTCATTACCCAAACTAGGTAACATCACCAGTGCTACAACTGATGATCTTACCTAGATTAGGTAGTGAAATGTCTTTAAAAAAAAAAACAAGCTCAAAGAGCACCAAGGACCCCTCATGTCAACCCTGAGCTACAAATATTCTCTATTAATCCAGAAACTTGCTGCTTTGCATGAACACAGATAGGCAAGTGCGGGATGGAAAAGGGTAACAAATATTGGCAATACATAATTGAATCTAAGCCATCCAAGTAAACTAGGAGCCAGGCTCCCCCTCTGCCAGCAAAGGGACAGCCATATCTTGAAGTACAGTAAATGCATGCACATTGTTAGTGCCACCTACAGGGGAAGGCAGCAGTATCTCTTGCCATTTGTCAATTCTGTCAATCAATTTGTCCAATCACTACTTTCTTTGCAGACAAGCAGCTTTGGCCACATCCCAGCACCTTCGCGACAGGATCATAAAGGGACAATGGCTGAACCCATTCCGGAATCTGCCAGCAGCAAAGTGGAGAGTTGAAGAGAAGCACGGAGTCCTCTCCAAGTGGCAGATAAGCTCCTTGCCTTGAATCCTGGCTCACGGATGATACAGGCCTTCTTGTGAAGTCTTAGCCCTTGGACCACAGACCTGCAGAAACTCCGCTTCCTTGCAGAGAGGCATTGGCAGCTGGTCATGAACACTCAAACGCTCCGGCCTTCTCTGGCCTTGGTTATGAAATCCTTGTGAAGGCCAGGCTTGGACCTCAGATCTCCTGCAAGAAATCCGTGGGGAAGAGTCCCACTTTGCGGCCAGTGTAGACTTTGACATACCCATTCTGCTCCTCTCCTTTCTGTACCACAATCTATAAGAGGATAAGAGACGCTGGATGAGGCAGAATCCACAAGTAGATTACCATTTTGATGGAAGGAAAGAACCAGGAAGGAATTATTGTGCATTTATGTGGAGGGAAGGAGGAAGGGAGGAGGGGGGCTACCAATAAGTAGCACTGGACCTGAACTTATAAAAAAACTTAGAATCACTTGAGGGCCGAATGTTATTTAGACAATGCGTAAAGAAAACCTGGGTTTTATAACTATCATGCATCCAGATTCCCCAGATAAAAGTGTGATCAGAGTCCCTTAAACCAGGGGGTCTCCAACCTTGCCAACCTTTGCTGGCTGAGGAATTCTGGGAGTTGAAGTCCACAAGTCTTAAAGTTCCCAAGGTTGGAGGCCCCTGACTTAAACTGTTCTCCTCCTAGCTCGGGCTTATGTGATAATTGCCAGATGAAAACTCAACAAAAAACCCACTCCTCAATTTCAGGAAGAATTTGTAGCGGGGGAGAAAAGAAAGTGAAATTGTGCTATTTTAGCATTTGTTTACTTAACTTTTAAATAGTCTGCCAGAAAGGATGGGATATAAGACCAATTTGTGGAAAATATGTGGCAGTTTTCTGTTGAATGTGACCTTTCAGCTCATGGTGGAAAAATTTGTAAAAGTTATCATTGTTTTTGGCTGTTCAGGCAGGGGGGCATTTATTTATATCTGAATGAAGTACTTCAAAGAGACATACCTGATCCTTTTTTAATGTAATCTGACCAATTTCTTTGTTGCCCACAAAGGACCTCAGGACCTTATGCACACGTTCTCCTGCACGCACTCGGATAATGAAGTTTGGCGGAAAGTATCCAATTTTTTCTCCAATCTCCCCAATTTTCTTCCCCTAAGAGGAATGCATGCACGAAGTTACTTTATAAAGAAATAACCTGCCCCCCCCCCCAAATTCCCAATTCTACCACCATGAAACAAAAGAGGATTAACACGAGGGGTTTTTTTTCTTTAAAAAAAGCAGTGAGGAAAATTGGCAATTTGCAGTGATTCTCTCCTTCAGCACATAAATACACTTTTGCTCTTAAAAAAAGAAGGAAGAGACAAGTAACTAATATTTTGGAACATTAGCTCTTGCCAACATGATATATATTAATTATCCTCATTCCTCAAAATTGACATCAATAATCCTGCAAAATGCTCATTAAGCCATTTTCAGGACAGTAAGTGACTTGCATCTTCTAAATGGGGGACATTTTAAAAATATGGTGAGGGAAAAATGAGTGAATTTTACAAACGGAAATATTCAAAAGGAAAAATACAAAATTAATGCTACTCATGGCTTTTAATCCTTTCATGAAAATATACCGTTTTTAACATTGTCATTCATAACATTTTATTGACAGGGGATGAATTTATATATTTTGTGGTGGAGTAGGCAGCTTATTGATGGTGAGAGACTGGACTGAATATAATATAATACAAAGCAGGTGGAAATAGGATATTCTGTGGGCCTGCCCCCTTTGTTTGGGTGTCTTAATAATATTATTTATTTTTTAACCCTACCCTGACTACAGCTGCCAAAAACTAGCTGTACAGTTTCAAACAATGTTGAAGCAGAACACACCCAAAGATTTGTAGCAGAGTTCCCAAACACACACACACACCCTTTCACTCCCTGCCTCCTCAAAACTTAGGAAGAAACTACAATAGAAAGCCCTGGATTTGACATATTTGTGACATGACTCTATTTTAAAAAATATTTGTTTTTAATTATATACAGCCCCTGGCCGTTAAATGGTTGCCCACTTCACATTTTCACCCAGTAACTGATTTCTTGGGTGGAGGGGAGCAACATTATTTGCCAAGTATAGTTTTAAATCACACAAATGTGTCCCAAGTCACACTGAAGGAAGACTCCAGCTGGGATGCCATAGTAAAAGCTGAAACAGAGGAAATCCCAAATATTTTGCTGATATTTAAAAACTTTTAGATATTAAAAGATCAAGAGCTTTCTTCAAAATGTACAGGCTTAATCCTGAAAGAAAAACCATCTTCTTACGCGCCACCATTCTTCATTGGAGTCGTCAACAATTGCAACTTTGTCCCCAGGGCTGAAAGAGAACAAGGGGCCAAAGATGAAAATATTGTCGTGAGTCAGGACTGCTGAACAACATGGCTTTCCCAGTTCTGAATATCTGACCAAGATGGCAACTTCCCCTCATGCTTCATGGTTCTACCACAAATTCAACAAGGTAATGAGATACAAAAGCACCAGAACATCCAGCAGCCTGACAAACGCTCTATTATTCTCTCTCCATCTTGCAACCATTGGTCGGATTCTATATTTATTGTTGCTGGGACGTACATTTGCATTCAGGGTAAACCCTTTTTACTTGTCTCCCAGCCCTTCTCCACAAAACAATATAAAGAAGCTGTCATGTGAAGATCTCACAGTCTTACATGGGATGCATGCCCTGAATTTAAAAGGGACACACCAATGCTATTCCACGGGGCCTTGATATTCTTGAAAGAGCAAACTTCCTTCAAGACAAGTTATGTCTCGTTGTTTTATTTGAGTTCTTAGCATTCTCACATTACTCTTCACATTAACGTAAAACCTGCTCAGTGAAGCTTTGAGTTCCAAACCCCTTGTTGTCAATGACTTGTTCAGGGACTATCTTCGTATGCTGCATCCATGCCCCATAGATTACAAATTCTATATATTACTCCATAGGTTACTCCTCAGTCTCTGGAGCATTGAGACTGTACCCGCTTCTACTGACATGACTTTGACAAAGTATATCAGAAACTCAACCCAGACACTTCTATGTTATGATTTGTTTCTATAAAGAGAGTGGTTTAGCAAGGTTTGAGGTTGGTGAAGTTCTAATCAATTAAAAAAAAAGACAACTTCGTTACTCACTGAAAATCCAAGTCGTCCTTCTCCAAGGCTTTGAAGCGATAAAGTGCAATAAAGTAGTGAGACTGTGGGAACCCAGTTTGCTGCTTCTTACTCTGTTCAAAAGAAGAAAGTCAAGTCCCCTTCAAATCAAACTTGACTCTTGGTGACTTATCCATTGCCAGTTTTCTTGGCAATGTTGTGGAAATGGCAGTTATGGCCCCTTTAGGGATGGTTCTTGGATTTTCAGGCTTATTTGTCACTTGGGCTTCTCAGAAAACTTACACGTAGGTAATAACCATGCCAAGCTAAATTCCACATTAGAAGAAATATTTGTAGCTCAGGGTTGCTGTGGGATCCTTGATGCTCTCTGAGCTTTGTGGGGGTTTTTCTTGCAGATGTTTCATTACCAAACCAGGTAATACCAGTTACCTAATTTGGGTAAAGTATTGATAATGTTACCCAGTATATTTTGCTCTCAGGTACTCATGATCTTGTCAAAAATCTTGAATGTTGGCAAAACACAAGCTCTTTCTATAGATATCCTCTATAAAATTAGTGTCGGGATGGGCAAGGAATCAAAACAGAGTATTCATAGGTGTACAAATAAATACGTTTATATGGCCAAGAGTATCCATGCATGGATCTCCAAAGTGGATTTAATCTACCTCTGGAAAGCAGGATACCAGGCAAGAACTTAGGGCTGAGCTATTCAAAATCTTATAGCTACCCAACCTTACATCTCTACAAATATAGTCCATGGATCTTTCTGTGGACCTAGGCAAGGCTTTCTAATCCTCAGTTATCTGGCACAAGTAGTAACAAAGCCATCCCCTTCCATTATACTTTATGCATAAATATGGAGGTGATAGAGAGCAGATTTTCTGAAATCGGTTCTGTTCATATGCTCAAAATGTACTGTATGCCAACTTCTTTAAGTGTATATGAATGGTTAGTAGAATCTGATTGGTGGAATCTGAGGCCATATGCAATAAAGCAAGCAAGCACACTGGGAGTCTCAAATTTTGACCTTGAGTTTTTGACCTTGGGGGAATATATATATACATGAATTGAGTGGCTTGTCTATGTACCATTTCCTCTCCCTCCCCGCTCCATGCAGTTCTTTCTACTAATGTGATTTGTGCAGGAAAAAAAAAGAAAATGTGGAGTTGACTATGCAGAGAAAAAATAGCATGCAAGCATTTGAATAATCAGAGGGGGCAGGTGAAGAAAAGTGACTTGCAAGAGCATCACACACTTGTAGGATTTGGAGACAAGAAAGCATGTAGTCATTGTGTTCAATCTGGAAACTAGCAAGCGCATTCTTTGCCTCTTCCCCTCCCCCATGCAAGAGTGAGGGGCAAGCACCTTGTCATCCGGGGTATTCTTCTCTGCTTTCTGCCTTTCTGGGTTTCCTGGAATCAAAACAAACAAGCAAGCAAGTGAAATTCAGATGGGATGAAATACAGGTAATCCTCGAGTTCCTACTGTTCACTTAGCAGCTATTCGAAGTTATGGCACAACCCCCCACCAACTTTGGATGCAGTTCCGAAGTTATGAATGTTGCCACACCATGGCAGTCATTCACCTTTACAAACAACCACAGAGGCTCTGCAACATTAACCTTACCTATCCCGGCCCACCTGGTCTTCTCAGGTACTGGGCCCGTAAATACTCACCTTGTGAAGATCTAACAAGCCTTAGGTTTCTTGGCCTGCTTTAGTGCTTCAGGCCTTTGGTGCATTCGCAGAGAATGGAGGCCTAAAGTAATGCAAGATCACATGAGTTCAGTAGCGCAAGATCGTGCGCTACTGATCTCGCATGATCTCAGGGTACTTTAGGTCTCTGTTCTCTGCAAATGGAGGCCTGAACGAGATCTGCGGCAAAAGGCTTCCAAAGCCTTCCCTCCATTTGCAAAGCCTTTTGGCATCTTTGGAAAAAGCCTTTGCTGCTGAGAACGAAGGCCCAGAGGGACATGTGTGCCCCTCCCAGGCTCCATTCTTGTCAGCAAAGGGCTTCTTGAAAAGAAAACTGGGCCCTATAGGGACATAATCTTTCATCCTTTCAGGCCTCAGCAAGCCTTTGCTCAAGGTGAAACTGGGGCAAAGAGGCTGGAGAGGAGACTGCTCCCTTGATCATGGAGATCTATGTATGGTAAGTGACCCTGTCAGGCAGGATGAGTGGTGCGGGGAAGTGTGAGATATCTCAATGGGTTGAGGGTGGCCTTGGATAGTCGGAAGTACTAGCCACCCTACTGGCTTTCCCCACCCTGCACTTAACAACCAGCACATTTGATTAGCAAATGCGTGGGCGAAAGCAGGGCGTGATCACGTTCCAGTTACATGATTCACTGCTTCAAATCCTCAGGTTGTGAATGTAATCGGCAAGCTCCATTACATTTGTACTTCGAGGGCTACCTTTTATAGAGAAAAGCAGAATTCAGACAGGTTCCCTTCTCCCAGGGCATTGAAAATAAAATGCCACAATTTTCCTAGTTTTTTTTTTTTCCGAGGCCTAAAAAGAAAGTTATTCATAAATTAACTCTCCCCCGCCCGTCTCTGCTTTTCTTGTATTCGTCTTCCTTCCTTTCCCTGCTTACAGCAGTTACAAATGTAGATGTTCTTTTTTTTTCTGACCATGATTCATTACTTTCATTTCAGTTTTATATTTGCATTTTTCACTTAAAAGATAAAGCTTAGCCAACAGCAACACCTAGGCGAACTTCACTCAAAAACATAAACAGAATCACACCTGGTTACAGTTGAGCAGCATCTGGAGAGCTATCACTTGCCTTTCCTGAGATGTCATATGGCAAAAACTTTTAATTTGTGAGCACCAGGGGTTTCCTTTTTGGTGATCTTCTTGCTTCTTTTGTATTTTGTTTATTCGAGCAATATTTTCTTAACAGATGTTTAGACTCCGGATCCCAGAGTCTAACAGATTTTCTGAAGACTGTTAACACTTACCTCCCTCTGGTTTGTCACTTTCTGGTTTGGGAGCTTCAGTTTCTTCTTCCATCATGGCAGCCAAAGGCTAAAATGTAGGAAAGAACATATATCAGAAAATATTTATTTGACAAAATTTATATATACCACCCCAATCAATAAACTTAAGGTGGTGCAGAAAAAAAAATACAATACTGACAAACTCCTATCCTTCATCTACACTAAACTTCCAACCTTACACTAGATGTCTATGGAGATTTCAGTCATCCAGGTCATGGTTGTCCTAAAGGTGCTTTTTCAAGAGACAATTAGGCTTTCTGGTTTTTCTTTGAAGACATTTTGCTTCTCATCCAATAAGTGGATGATGTGCAATGGAAGAATTTGTACTCCTTGCAGTCCCAGCCAACACGAGTAATGAAGAGTCTAGAAATAGCTGGAATGCTAATACAGGTGACATGGTGGCCCAGTGGTTGGAAGGCAATATTGCAGAATAACTCTGCTGACTGCCAGCCAACTGCCAGCAGTTCGATCCTGAGCTCCTCAAGGTTGACTCAGCCTTCCATCCTTCCATGGTCAGTAAAATGAGGACCCAATCTGGGGGGCGGGGGAATAGGCTGACTCTATAAAGCAGTATATAAGTCTAAGTGCTATTGCTACATGTGGTCAATGTTAGCTTTAGAATTACTTCTATCATCATCCATTATTCCTGGCTTGGATAGCCTCCTAGGCACCACCCTTTTTTGTTGTGATGTTTTCATCGTACTGGTTTCCTACATTTTTTTTGTTATCCTGCCCTTTCTTGCGCTCCTTGTTTGCCATGATAACACCTGACCGTAGGGTATCGAAGACAGGATCATTTCGGCTAGCTGTGAAATAAACAAAAACAAAAAAAGTTGTAAAAGTTACAAAGGTGTTTCTAAGGATAGATGACCAGGAGTAAAAGCCTTATTGGATGACTGACTTACCACCCGAGAGTTGTTGGGCACTGTACAATGGAGAGCTGTAAGCACGGCGGAAACCTGGAGGCTGAAGAGTAAACGGTAAAGATTATACACTGTCAAGAATGTTGGGAAAGGGGGACAAAGTCCATTTTTCTCCCAAATGATGGAGCTTGATGACAGAGGCAGCTATTATCCTTGAAAAGAAATTCTAGCCTTAGTCTAATGCTTGTTTTATAAATAACACTATGTAGCAAACATTTTCATAAGATGAAGAAAGAGTTCTTCTGCTGATTTATCAAAAAGACTAACAAAGCCAGTATGGAGAAAATGCGGAGTTTCCCAAAACTTTGGCAGCAGCCTCTAAAGCCTTTCCTAAACTTGACACTTTATTATAATTTTCAGGATGATGGAAATGGGAAGTCATTAAATGCATAAAAGTTCATTGCATGTATTGAATATCGTTTAATTTTTTTTTGATCCTCTTCTAGGGCAAAAATTATTTATGCCTATTTCTAGTCACCTTGGCAGAGCAGCCCCTGGTATTTTACTTTTTTATGACTTATCACTTTGTTGTTTGTATATATGCGGAGAGCTTATGCGCTGGAGACAAATTCCTTGTATGTCCAATCACACTTGGCTACTTAAGAATATTCTATTATCCGTTGCCCTTGAAAAAGATAGTGTGTGTTCTGCAATATGGAGACTACAGTACGGTGAAATCCCAAATTAGAAAGAAAAGATCCCTGGTTGCAGCTGTTTTTTGCATTTCAATAATCAGAAAAAGCTAGCTCCTATTGATTGGACCTGCTAAAGAGAAACTAATTGACTGGCTTCACTCACGTGACCTGTGTTGTTGTTCTACAGGGGCGTCAAACTCAAGGCCTGTGGGCCAGATCCAGCCCTCGGGGTGCTTAGATCTGGCCCACAGGGCCACCAGGAAACTGGGCCCATGGTGCCCCAGCCAGCAAAAACGGAGCTCAGGAGGACCACATGCGTGCTGGAGGCTGTCATAGCAGAAAACAGAGCTTGGGAGCCTGTTTTTGCTGGCAGAGTGCTCAAGCCACCATAGGTGTCCCCAACACGAGTGACATTGAGCTGGCCACACCCATCCTGACCACACCCACCCTGACCCCCCGAGGTCAACACAACCCTGATGCAGCCCTCAATGAAATTGAGTTTGGCATCCCTGTTCTAAGCTAAAACTGTCTCTGTTATGTTTGTTCTCATTTATGTCATCTGATTCACTGTGATCCTGAATGGCTAAGGTCATAGAAAAAAATGGCACCCCAAAGCCCAAATGACTGCATATAATACTTGAAAAAAGGAAAGAAAAAGTTATTTTCTGGGGAACCATTTGGTCTTCTGCAAACACATGAAAAATGTTCATAACCGAACTTTTAGTAAAAAGCTATTTATAAAGAATATGTTACTAGCTGCTTCAGCTTTTAATAATATACAAAATATACTGGGTAATTTGTTAGTTTACTCACCCACTGCTCTCCTCCAATTCTGCAGTTCAGGAATTGTGGCTTCAATCTATCAAAGGCAATGCGCTGAATCTACTCTAAGAATTGGAATCCATTTTTCAAAAGTATAAAGTCCATTGTAGGGCCAATAAGTGTACTTTTTCTCCCACAAGAGTAATTTCCAATTGAAAAATAATGCAATCCTTGTACACACCATAATGACTGCACATTTCTACTTTTTATTCTGGCCCATGGAGAGGCAATGGCATACATCTATTTGAGATAGTCACTTCCAGAGATTGATATTCTGATTGTGCATTATTTTATCCATGTAGAATAAGCGTAGCAAACTAGCTCTTAAATCAAGGTGCCCTACTTAAAATTCTTGCAGCACCATAGACCCCAGGGTTGATTTGGATCAGATACCAACAACAATACTGGATATAAATGCAAGAAGATGTGATGCAAGATAAAAATGGCAGCTCTTCCATGTAATCATTTAGAGGCTTCAAGGCAAGTAGAGCTGATGAGTAAGATTACAACATACACATTCATCCATGAATGCCACCCACGCATACAACTGTTGCAGAGGAGAGAAGCTATGTTCCTGGCTCTGATTTCAGAAATCTTACCCAGGTTTGTTGTTTCTCACCTACTAGCGGTAGAGAGGTAGTTTGATATAGTGGTTAAGGTATCAGGCAAGAGACCATGAGTTCTAGTCCTGCCTTAGGCATGAAGCCAACTGGGTGGTGTTGGGTCAGTCCTTCTCCCTCAGCCTTAGGAAAGAAGCAAGGCTAAATTGCTTCTGAAATCTTGCCAAGAAAACTGCAGGGACTTCCCTAGACAGTTGTTAAGTGTCAAAACCTGGCTCAAACACAGGGGTGGGATTCAATTTTTTAAACACCCGGTTCTATCGGCATAGCTTAGTTGGTGGGCATGGCTTGGTGGTAATGTGACTGGCTGGGCATGGCCAACTCAACATCACTCACATTGAGGCAGGCATCTCCTTGCCTGGTCTCTCATGACTGTGGGGATGCTGCAATAGTCGTAAGTGTGAAAAATGGTTATGTCACTTTTTTCAGTGCCATTGTAACTTTGAATGGTCACTCCACACAAGCAAAGTACCAGCAAAGGAGAGGGGAAAAACTCCAGAGAAGTTCCTGAGACAGGAAGTCTAGTCCTGCCAAGAATGTAATAAGAGTTAACGGAGAGGCAGTTTCTGTAAGCAACACCAGAATGTTTCCTTCCTGCCTTCCTTACAGGATTAGGCCAGTAATTTCGTCTAACAACTGGTTCTCTGAACTGCTTAGAATGTTAACAACTGGTTCTAGTGAATAGGTGCGAACCTGTAGAATCCCACCCCTGCTCAAAGGCACACAAAACAGACACACACACACACACAAACACACACACACACACAACTCATAGCAGTGAAGAGCAGGAGGCAGCAGGTGTTAGAGGGGCTTTTGTACAGCGTCATCCAGTGTACCAATTGCACCTTTTCCTGGATTAGGAAGCCTTGCTTATAGTCACTCATGCCCTTGCTCAGCTCTCATTTGAATTACTGCCATGCCCTCGACATGGGGCTGCTCTTGAAGACCACCCAGAAACTTCAACTGGTCCAGAACATGGCAGTGTATATGGTGATGGGTGCCCCTAGGTTTACCCATGGAATAACCTCTGTTGTGTGAGCTGTGTTGGCTTCGAATTTCATTCTGGGTACAAGTAAAAGTTCTAGTTATCACCTTTAAAGCCCTATATGGCCCAAGGCCAGATTATCCACAAGACCATCTTTCTCTAAGCTCATCTACTTGTCTTACCAGATCAGGCATGCTTCTAGTCCCTTCTCTTAGACCAAGGGACTTCAAACTTGGCAAGTTTAAGACTTGTGGACTTCAACTCCCAGAATTCCTGAGCTAATATGACTAGAGGAGGAATTCTGGGAGTTGAAGTCTACAAGTCTTAAGGCCAGGGGTGGGATTCTACCAGTTCGCACCTATTCGCTAGAACCGGTTGTTAACATTCTAAACGGTTCAGAGAACCGGTTGTTAGAAGAAATTACTGGCCTAATCCTGTAAGGAAGGCAGGAAGGAAACATTCTGGTGTTGCTTACAGAAACTGCCTTTCTGTTAACCCTTATTACATTTTTGGCGGGACTAGATTTCATGTTTCAGGAACTTCTCTGGAGTTTTTTTCTCCTCCTCTGCTGGTACTTTGCTTGTGTGGAGTGACCTTTCAAAGTTACAGTGGCACTGAAAAAAGTGACTTATGATCATTTTTCACATTTATGACTGTTGCAGCATCCCCACAGTCATGAGAGACCAGGCGAGGAGATGCGTGCCTCGATGTGAGTGATATTGAATTGGCCATGCCCAGCCAATAACATGACCACCAAGCCACGTCCACCCAGTCACATGATCACCAAGCCATGCCCACCACCTAAGCCACGCCCACAGAACCAGTTGTTAAAAATTTGAATCTCACTCCTGCTTAAGGCTGTCCAGTTTGAAGACCCCTGCCTTAGATATTGGCATCTTATGGGAGCTAGGAAACCTGCCTTTTTCATGGTGGGCTCTCTCGATGGAACAGTCTTTCCCCCTGAAATTTGGCATCACTTTTTTTGTGTTTTTAATGCATTGAGGTTTTACAGTCTTAATAAATTTTTATGTTGTTTTCATGTTTTATTAGGAGCTGCCCAAAGCTTGTTATAAGATAGGTCATCATATCAGAGTTTTAAATTAACAAATTATTTTAAGTTTCTTATTGGTAGCCATGCTATAGACTTCATGATATAAGTATTTTTTTTAATCATCAAATACTGATGGATACAAAACCAGATTAAATAGCTTTGTTTCCTCATTTCTTTAAAAGACACTCTTGCAATATTCTCTGTTTTGCTAATTAAAATGTATTAACCTCAGCTATATATTTCATCCCAACCTGGATCCAACGATAATACACACACACACACACACACAAACCAATTTTAGCTAATTATATTCTAGTTGCGAGCACTTAGCTTGTAACAGTCAGGTTCTTGAGCATACAGCTTTTGTTACACTTGTGATTAAAAACTACTGAGGGTAAAATCCTACCCTTTTCAAAGTAGCATGCCTTTCTGAAAAAAGTTATCCCCTTCTACATCTCAGTGCTGTCTCAGTGTCGTCTACATAATGGAGCAAGCGCAGAACCAAAACTGCAGCTTGCCGTATCAAATCATGTTAGGGATAGCAATCAGCAGAGGCCTCAGAAGAGGCGACTTACTATCTTGCCAAAGCAGCGCTGAAATTCCACATAACTTTGGCAGTGATGATGGATGTGAGTTTTGCAGTTCTTGCATTTCAAGCCATATTTGTTGTTGACTGCAAAGAAAAGAAAGGCAATCAATGTCATTATATAGGCCAGGGGTGTCTTCAAACTTGACAGCTTTAAGACTGGTGGACTTCAACTCCCAGAATTCCTCCTCCAGTCATGTTAGCTCAGGAATTCTGGGAGTTGAAGTCCACCAGTCTTAAACTTGCCAAGTTTGAAGACCCTTGATATAGGCTAAGGAGTCTCTCACCCCGCCTCCCCAGCCCTCATGCCCATTTCTGGAATCAAGCAATAGATAATACCACAGGATGCCTTCTAATTGACCCAGACCAAAGGTGGTATTCTGCAGGTTCTGACCAGTTCTGGAGAACCAGTGGCGGAAATTTTAAGTAGTTCGGAGAACCGGCAAATGCCACCTCTGACTGGAGATTTTACAGTTTCCTTCACCTGCCACGCCCACCAAGCCACGCCCACAGAACCGGCAGTAAAAAAAATTTAATCCCACCACTGAGCCAGACAGAAGCCATTTAAAAACATACAAAGAAGCCATTTGTCTCCCAGATGGAGGGGAAATTACTTTTCAGGAAATGACTGCAGGATGAAACATCAGCATTCCCTAAATATGCTTCCTATTGACATTTTAAAAATGTTCTGCCAGAAACCACAAGGAAAAACTTTGTGCATGTTCAGTTCTATCAAAAAAACAACAACAACTGGGGAATCAACTTGGCAATGAAGGATTTCTAGCTTTTAGCTTGAGAGGTCTTCCTGCTCTCCATGTCTTGGCCTCCTGGATAGAAAGAAGCAATAGGAGGCCCACTTCAGTGGTGGGATTCAAAAATTTTTACTACCGGTTCTGTGGGCTTGGCTTGGTAGGCGTGGCAGGGGAAGGATACTGTAAAATCTCCAGTCAGAGGTGGTATTTGCTGGTTCTCTGAACTACTCAAAATTTCCGCTATCGGTTTTCCAGAACTGGTCAGAACCTGCTGAATATCACCTCTGGCCCACTTGGTTGACCTATGGCCTGGCTTGAGCAAATAAGATATTCCAATGCTCAGGCATCATGACCAGTCTCCACTGTAGATGATAAACGTTTCATGCATTTATGGATTATACCATTGTTTATACCAAACTGGGGAAATCTGGCATAGTATATTTCCATTTGTTCCTCCTTGGCTCTGATTCCTTGAATCTCCTTCCTGGTTCCTGCTTCTCAGTTTCTGGCCCATTTCTGGCGGCCATCTTCTCTTCAACCCTGACAAATTCTCATTTCTCTTTTAAACAGGGAGGTAAGGATTGACATGTGATTGCCTCCATCACAGATAGTTTGGCTCTATGATCATCAGCATTTTCTCAGCAAAAGGAAATGGGTTTGGTGTAGAGGAAAAAGTAGCTTGGGTTACTTTTAAAAATGGACTAATGGAACGTGTACATCCTAACAATGTTTTGAAAGATAACTTTAAAAAAAAAAGTTAAGAAAAAGACATCAGGCATACTTTTCCCCCTTCTAGCTTGGCTTTCAATACACATCTACGGGCAACCATCCTGGAGGTCAAAATTGTGGGTGATTAAAAAGGCCGCTGCTTTCAGAACTGAAGAGCTGATAACGCTTGAATTTATATGTAAAGTATTCAAGTGTGGGCAAATGTATCATAATGCAAATGACCCCGATTCCCTAGTTATGTACTTATATCAGAACTAATGGCACAAGGGCCTGATTGCATTGTTTGCACAATGACCTCATGATCCACCTGACATGACCTGTAACAGTGGATGTCTATGAGTACATTCTACCATTCTTTATAGAACGTTCCTCCACATTTCATAGTTTTCTATGAAAGATTGCTAGGGATTTCCTGAATTTTAGGATGGCTGCAAGAGATAACTTACGAGGGGTGCTGGGTGATCTCTGAGCTTGCTTGTTTTCTTGCAGACGTTTCATTCCCCTAATTAGGTAACATCATCAGTGCTAGTAAGGAGTGCTGTTTGCTGTCAGTTTATATTCTGGTGTCTTTCCTGTTGGTGTGAGGGTGTGGGCAGAAAACAACAACTGAATGAAAAACTGCTGATGACCTTCTACCGCTGCACCATAAAGAGTATCTTAACTTACTGCACCTCTGTATGGTTTGCCAACTGCACAGTGGCAGATAAGACAGTACTCCAGAGGATTAACGTCATTGCCCAGACGATCATTGGTTGTCCTCTCCCCTCTTTGGAAGAGATTTATAGCTCCCGCTGCCTTAAGAAAGTTCAGAACATTCTCAAATATCCACCTCATCCTGGGCACCCTTTCTTTGAACTATTAACATCTGGCAGACAGTACAGAACAATAAAAACAAGAACAAATAGGCTGAAAAATAACTTCTATCCCAGGGCAGTAGCTCTTTTGAATTCTGCTGTATAGTATAATATTAATGCAATATCAGGGGGTTTTCAGTTCAATGTACAGAATGTGAAGGATGTGTATTTGTGTTTATTTTCATAATCATAATGTACACTGAAGATGATATTTAATTTCATTGTACGAGGTGCAATGACAATAAAGTAAACTAAACTAAACTTAGGGATACTTTGGCTGGGCTAACTACCTACCTAGAGATAACTACCTACATTAAACTACTAAACAACAACTATGCAAGGTGTACATGAGCATATACCGTTCTCTGTTTCAACAGTTAGCTTACCATTTTGCCTCTAGATGTAAATCATAACCTATATTCCCTCCCTCCATTTAAGCAACTGTTCCAAATCATATGCCTGTTAGGTCTTACTCGGCTTTCAATATATCCCCCTATCCCACTTTCGCTGCTTTTTTTCCCCCAGGCATGATTCATGCATCTTTAACAACTGCGTATGGCATAATAGAAACTCACGGACAATCATGCGGGCACAGACATCACAAAACTTAGGTTTCTTGAAGTAGTGATCCTTGAATTTGTGAGGTTTATCGTTAACAGGTTTTTCCGGCTCAGGTGGTGGCTCAGGCTCTTCCTCATCCTCCTCCACTTCCTCATAGTAGTAGATGGTTCCCCCGGAAGAAGTGACCAGCTCCCCGTTGGCTTGGGGCTCCTCTGAGGTAGGCTCCTCCTCCATGGGCTTGCGTTGGAAAAACTGCTTTAGCTTCTGCAACTGAGGGTCCAGGTTGGGATGGGGCAGAATGGGTGGGTGGGGCGGACAATCAGCACTTGATAGATGCCAACCAAGAACCTTGGCAACCAGTGGAAATGGCATGCACACACCCCCAACTTGTCTAGCCCCAAAAGGCAAGGGAATGAAAGAGGGGTTCACGGCAAAAACAGAGAGACAAAAAAACAACAACAACCCCAATTCCTACTTGTGGAAGTTTTCTTCAAAGAAAATGCAAGCAAAGAAGCAGCAATATTGCAACATGCAACTGCATGAGTCCATCATAAAGCTGCATGAGTCCATCATAAAGCTTGTTAATTGCGTGTAGCAGCTTTCTATTCCTAATATTAGCTAATGATAACCCAGCTGTCGGTGTGTACTGGTGTGTTGTAGTAGTAGTAGTAGCCCCCACCATCCTATTATTCTGCAAGATCCTGAAGACCTGCTGGTTGGGGAAGATGGGGAAGTCCACATTGGAGGTGGCTGCCAGATTGGTGGCAGACTTCACCTCTCCTCACTTGCTCTCTGTTTTCCACCCATCCATCATTTTGGTTATCATATTGATGTGTTTATTCTCACTGTGTTCCTTTGCCAGTGGTTACTCTATTGTTCTATTATTTTACTACTGTTCTCTTTACATCCCTTTTCCTTCTTCTTCCTTTTTATTATTGTAGGCTACCTAGAGTAATCCCATAGTGAGATATGCAGCAAATAAATGTAACAAATAAGTAAATATTTAGCAGCCTCTGTGGCACAATGGTTAAAGTGCAGTACTGCAAGCTCCTTCTGCAGCCAGCTGCCTACATTTGGGCAGTTCAAATCCCACCAGGCTCAAGGTTGACTCAGCCTTCCATCCAGTGAATAAAATGGGGACTTAGATTTTTGGGACCAATAGGCTGACTCTGTAAACTTCTTAGAGAGGGCTGTAAAAGCACAATAAAGTGGTATATAAGTCTAAGTGCTATTGCTAAATAAATAAAAATAGACTTAGATGGGGAACAGCATGCTATGATAGCATTTCAAGCAGGACTAGCAACCAAATACTTTAAAGATTTGTTAGTTGGTTATCTTTTCAACCAAATAATCAACTATTGCTTATCTACAATTTAATTGTAGATATAGCTAATATAGTTCAAGTCTTTATGTATATTATCTCAACTCAGCAAGCCATAAAAACCTCGCAGAATCATTTACTTGTTTATTAGGCCATCTGATTCTTAAATGATTCTGAGTAACCCAGAATCTAACATACTAAAAGAAATACAGCAAATCAAAAGAGCAATGCACGAAAATGCTCATATTATACTCATGTTGCACATTAAGAAAGAGATGTTGAAACAGACTTTAACTTAGACAGTTCCAAACTAAGAGACTCTCTTGGCACACTCTTAAATTTAATGGATTATAACGCTCTAGTTTTTTTATTAGTTTAACAGAGCTATTCACTGATTACAGAAATGTATTTTATTTTCACTTTTCATTATACCTTAGCGCAGGGCTGTCAAACTCCCAACCCACAGGCCGGATGCATCATGCACTGGCCACACCCGCACCTGGTTTAGCGAAGGGGGAAAAAATCCTGAAACATCATGTGACAACACTGTAAGTTTGACACCCCTGCCTTAGCGTAATCAAACTAACCTTTCACTCCCAGGCCCTCTGCTTAAATGGAGCCACATTGATTAATCAATGGGAGGTTTTGCTTGCTAATCTATTCTATTGGCAAAGCTTTCATAATATACTTTGAGCCTAATGCTGCATGTAGATATACACTATCTCTACCATCGAATTACTAGCAAGGACATTTGTCAGCTTTGATGAGATTGTAAAAGCTTGTTTTGCTTAGCTTAAGTCACAGGATAGACGCAATGCCCATTTCACCTTGGCTATTTACACCCTACTTTCAAGATGCACATATTAATAGCAGAAGTCAAATTATCCACAGCATTAATTGGCTTATCCATCAGATCAGTTGAAACCATCTCAGTCTCAGTAATCCATCCTCCTGCTTTGTCCATTAGGCCAGCTTTTATTAGAGAGGTGTCCATGACTTTTAAAATGAATAAATAACACTTACACAGTACAGGTAGTCCTCGGCTTACAACTGTTCATTTAGTGACTGTTCAAAGTTACACAGCAGTGAAAAAAGTGATTTATGACCATTTTTCACACTTACAACTGTTACGGCATCCCCATGGTCACATCATCAAAATTCAGATGCTTGGCAACTGACTCATATTTATGACCGTTGTAGTGTCCTGGGGTCATATGACCCCCTTTCGCGACCTTCTGACAAGCAAAGTCAATGGGGAAGGCCAGATTCACTTCACAACCGTGTCACTGACATGACAGTTGCAGTGATTCACTTAACAAAGGTGGCAAGAAATTTGTACCATGGGGCAAAACTCAGTTAACAACTGTCTCACTTACCAATATAAATGTTGGGCTCAGTTGCAGTCGTGAGTCAAGGACTACCTGTATAGACTGGGAAAATACTCAGAAAGGCAGACAGACTAATTAAGGAAAGCTTCTGGATAATTCTTCAGTTCATGACGCTCTGTACGGCGGTAGTGCGAGAGGGAGCTGGCTCACCCCACCTGAGAAAGTAAACTCCAGTACGTTCAGAGAGGAGCAAGTAAGATGATCAAAGGCCTGGAAACTAAATCCTATGAAGAACGGCTGCAGGTTTTGGGGTTTGGCTGTAACTCTTTTGAATTCTACTGTATAGTGAGTGCAGTGTTGATGCGGTGTCGGGGGTTTTCTGTTCAATGTGTGGAGGGTGAAGAATGTGTGTTTGTGTTTATTTTCATGGTCATGAGGTGCACTGAAGATGGTGTTTGATTTCGTTGTATGAGGTGCAATGATAATAAAGTAAACCAAACTAAAGAAAAGAAGAATTAGGGGGTGGCATGATAGCAGTATTCCAGTATTTGAGGGGCTGCCACAAAGAAGAGGGGGTCAAATTATTCTCCAAAGCACCTGAGGGAAGGACAAGAAACAATGGTTGGAAACTAACCAAAGAGAGAAGCAATCTGGAATTAAGGAGAAACTTCCCAATAGGAGAATTAACCAGTGGAACAGCTTTGTCTCCAGAAATCATGGGGGCTCCATCACTGCAGGTGTTTAAGAAGCGACTAGACATTGTCTGAAATGGTATAGGCTTTCTTGGTTGAACAGGGGGCTGGACTAGAAGACCTCCAAGGTCCCTTCCAGCTCTGTTCTATTCTAAGTCCTTGTTGCAGTACACATTTATACTCTGGTGTACTCCTATTGTCCCATCTAAATTATTGGTACAGTAACTTATTTCCACAAGGGTGACGGTCATCTTGACCTTGAGCACAGCCCTCTGTGTAAGATCTGAGGCAGGAGGATGGTTTACTGGCTGAGATATTGCTCCTGTACTGAGCAGGGCAGTCAAAGCAGCGGAGGGCAGAGGATTCCTGGGAAAGGAACAAGTTGAAAATTCCAGAGTCAGCAAGGAGGAAGCAATGGATGACATGCAGCTCAACTCCTGAGGCTAAGGGATGCTAATATATGTCTCAGGGGGAAAGCAGCAAATCATTCGCCTGCGTATATTTATTATTTATTCATATTCGGGGGGTGGGGGGGTCAACTGAGATCCTGAAATTGGGCAGTTTAATGAAATGCAGAAATCCTTGCAGCATTGGTGCTCTTGCAGCAGGCTTCTGGCAACAGAGAACATACGATTTTACCCAACACACAACACTCTGCCCAGCATTTTTAAGAACAAAATATGAGAATGTAGATCATGTACCAAGCAAACAGCTTTCTGTATGCCTGAGAAATATTTCTATCTGTGTTATTCTGAAGGTTCTCCTGACTGAGTTGAAAGGACTTCATTCCTAAGTTTTCTTTCTTAGGTGAGATTTCTGGCGCTATATGCACAGCATGTGCTGTGTTTAACCACTGAATAAATCGCAAAGGGTTGGTTGGGTTTGCAAATCTTACTAAGTCAGAAGCCAACCAAATACATTTTTGGTTTAGTGAAATGTCTGAATCAGGTCACAGATTTGCCTTCAGCACTTTCCACTTCAGGTCCAACTGCTTATATCACTTCCAATTCAGGTCTCCAAAGTCCTACTAATTCAATCTTCTACCTAAAGTCTGCGTGAAAAGAGGGCTTGTAAGTCTTGTGACAAATACCTTCAGTTCTCCTCTCACCCCGCAGTCAGTGGCAATTGCCCTGTGCAGTCATAATAGTTCGTGATATTTTGAGCTTACCAATCTGTTACCAGGGAAATGACAGGTTTTACCTTAACAGAAGACCCCAAGGCATGTAACAAGAACGAGTTACACTACTCATCCATCACAGTTATTGCTCGATGAACAGAGTGACAAATGGAGAATCTCTCCCTGGTACAAATCTGACTCATACAATTAATTCACTAGCTGAGCATGGACAAACCATTTTTAGCTTTTACCAACTCTTACCTGAAATAGAGGTATCAGAACAATGGTCCGATTTAAAGGGCTTATTGTAAGCATCGTGAAGGATGTGCATGAAACACTTTCTCAAAATTACTTAGGGATATTAGGGATACAGGTGCCAAATATTTGGTCTAGTGGTTAAGGTACCAGGCTATAAAATAGGAAATTGTGAATTCTAGACCTGCCTTAGACATAAAAGCTGGCTGGGTGACTGCAGGTCAGTCACTCTCTCTCAGCCCAACCCATCTCACATAGTTATTGATATGGGGAAAATAGGAGGAAGAAAAAGGAATATTAGGTATGTTCCCCACTTACTGAGTTGAGTTACTTATAAAAATAATAAAAGCAGGATAAAAAAAAACTTTAAAAATAGAGAGAGAAGTGAGAATATTAGATTGCCAAATATATTTCTAATAGGAACCCACATTTTATAAATTTGACTTAATTATTTTAGTTCATATTCTTGTACTTTCACTTATTATCCTGTTATGACTCCCCTTCAAAGTTCAAACGAACAAAACAGAAAGCAGCCGTTTCAAATTAAATCAAACAGAAAGAAGTCTTACAAGATAACGGCTGGCAGAAATCTCAATCCACAGCATAAATCTCCATCCAGCAAACCAGTCCTGGCAATAAATCTCAAGTCTCAGAGCTTCTTGCTGTAACGTCCTCACTCAATAAGTCATTTTGTTCCTGGCAAATTGTACCAGCCCAGCTGTGTCCTTTTATACTCATTGAGGCAACGTGCTAATTTACTGACTCACTCTCCTCTTTCGCTCCAGCTGATTTTGCCTTCTCAAACGTCTTCTGTTCCTTACATTTAACCACAAATTTTCCAAGTTCTCATCTCCACTAGAAGACTCTCTCAAAACTTCCCTGTCAGCCATTCCCGGCTGTTGATCAGATAAGGAACCAGAGGAGGTCAAAGGTCCTGACAATTCTAATACATCAGGTCTGTCTTCCTTTGTCATGTCCATCTCCTCATCCTGGTTACCAGTCCAATCACTGAGCCATGCCGGCTCATATTTTTCTGCCATGTCCTCCTCACTTGAACTCATATCAGACACAGGAGCTGAATCCAAGCCCAGAGCCACAACATTATCCTATGTCATTTTAATTTTATTAAATTTATTTATTATTAAGAATTGGAAAACAGTTCTATTGAGTGGAAGGTTATTGTTCTGATTCCACTGATGCAAAATGCAAACTAAAAATTCCCCTTTTGCCTAAAACTACACAATAATGCCACCATCTGAAATCAGCATCCAACACTCTTTTTGCAAGTTACCTAAGATCTGCTAGAGACCAGTGAAAGTGCTTTAAGTTATTTTGCCACTATGACTTTGGCATCTCAATTAAGTAAATGGACCCAACACCAAACTATTATTGACCTAACAAATAATATGTCACTTGATAGTTGGAATTCCTTCTCTTCTATGGAACGGAATACCTATCAGAATAGGACAGATAGAGAAAAACAGCACAAGAAATAGAAGCAGCTTTTCAACTTGGAGAAAGGCAGAGTTCAGACTTATGAGTTTAGCTGGGTTGGAAGCAGTTGATGGAGTAACATTCAATTTCAGACTCGCATCCTGATTTGCTGGGTTTCTGAATATTATTTTAAATGCAGGAGCTGAATAGGATGCACAGATCAGGATATAAAACAATCACCAATTGCCATGGGTCATAGGCTTATTTGATATAGCATAGGCTGATTTAATCCAGCATTTTTAGTGGATCCATAATCAATAGTGGTTTCACATATTGCAACCTCACAGACAAGAATGTGTGTATCCAATGATTCACTTTTCTAATATTTATACTCCTGTGCTAATGTTCAGAACTCACAGAAAGAAATCATGCCTTTATCCAAAACCTAGCTCATCTTTCCGCATGAAATTCCTCATAGATAAGCTTGTTAAACGTCTTCATAATATCAAAACTTATCAATTCTCTGCAGTTTTCCGGAATTCCATGAACCTTTAAAAGATTACAGCAATTATGCAGCTTAAATATATTTGTTTCACCAGGACAGATATCCACCAGTACAGAAATCTGACCGCCTTTTTGCAAAGTTCCAAGGTGCTGTGCAGTTTTCAACCAGGTTGCAATTTCATTCCTAGATATAATTTTGCCGCTTAAATAGGATTTGGAAGTGTGCTTCTTGAACAGCAGGTTTCCATATGTACCCATAACCCTTTTTTTAAAAAAGCAATGTGAATTCTTAAGTTTGTATTGGCAACTTCAATGTCAAACAATACTGGTACCTGGATTTGAAAGACCATCATATAGAAGTGAGGCAAAGATTTGCTCAGTTCTGCTCTAGAGTTAGGATTAGATTTAATGAGTTTAAACTACCAGATGACGATATTGTTTTGATGGCAAAAAGAGTTTGAAAATAGAACCAATGGTCTTGATAGAATTGGATTTTCCCCCAGTGGAGATCTTCAAACTGGAGAGGAACTGTGTTAGGATAAAGCTTTGGCTTAATTAAATCATGTTAGGAGCCTGATAATGGGACTTTCAAAATGTTTCTCCAATTGAACTAAACTATTAGTTTACCCCCATGAATGTTTTTTTTATTGGACATGATGGGTTGTATTAGAATTTGTATTCTCATAAGCAAGGAAGTATGGAAGAACTGTGCATTGCACAGAAGAAAAATCCTTACATCATTCCATTACAGTTTGCTCTATAGTCATCTTCCCTTTTTCCTCTACTTAAAAATTAGTAATAACATTATTAATACCTTATTGACAACTAGTTCCTTGTAGCACATTGACCTCTGTTCAAGAAAATACATTCCCAAAAATCCCATTGGACAAGTCTTACAGAAAAGAGAACTCTGCTAAATTTGAGGCTGGACAAGTGGGACCAATGGCAGCAATTTTAGCCTTTGGTAGAAATAATGGTAAAGAGGAGGTAGCTTCTCCAGTCACGAAGCCCAAATAGTTAATTGTAAACCGAATGTGTTCCTCATGAACACAGTAGACGTGGTTTAGGATGGGCTATAACCTTAATCGAAAGGGGAGGATTGGTTGCAGCCATTATGGCCAAAGGCTGTCATTAAAAGGTTCTGGCATCATTGGGTTTTTTGAATAACCATGTCTCTCCAGAGCAGATTTTCAACCTTATGGCTTCCAGATGTATGAGACTACAACTCTCAGACTTCTCAGTCAATAATTCAAAATATCCAGAGGACAGGAGGTTGGAAAAGACTCCAGAAAGACCCTGTGGCTGATTGTGGAGGAATTGGGAGATAGAATTTACACCCTTACCCTCCTAGAATAACCCATAACACTTACCCCTTCTGGAGATTTCCCCCTTATAGATATAGGTGAAGCGGATGGCTCAAGAATCTCTTTTTCTGTCATACTTCATAAAAAAAGGAACAGATGCAAAGATAAAATACAAACATGGAAGAAATTTCAATTCTTTGCTAAAAAAAAGAAGAAGAAGCAAAAGCTGGTGTTTTATCTGGTTGGGTCATACATCCAATACTTTTGATACACTGGCAATAACATTTTATAATTCCCCACTGTGAGGAAGCTGACACTTAAATGTCAAAATTACAGGCCTGTTTGAAAATGCAAATACTCACATTGGATTTAAACCTAAGCCACATTTATCCCCAGAATGCAATTTCAGCAGCAACACTTAACCATAAACCTATAAAAAACCTATAAAAATGGTACTTTTGAACACACGGAGTATCACTTTCCATCCAATAACTATTGCCCCATTTTAACTGATACAATAGAGAGGACACAGAATTCATCAGACCGGGAGGGAATTTAATAAGACTTCAAATCTATACAATCATGAGTATTTTGTTGCATCATTTTAATTGCAAATGGGAATGGGAAAACAAATTACTAGTGCTTTATTAATCTACACAACATTTTTGTTTTGACAGCAGAGCAAAATGCTACTCCAGTTCAGTTTTACAAATTTTATTTTTCATTACCTCAAAAGCCTTTTTCCCAATATCCACTTTTGAAGCTGAATGCAGGGTTAACTGGATCCACACATATTTAGCCTTCCAAATAACTTCTTCACTGCATCTATTATCTTTAATAAAGCAGTCTACCACAGTTCTATCCAAAATAAATGCCTTGTCTCTAATTGTATGGAGAACTTCTAAAATATGAGCAATATGGGTTTATGAATAGAGCGGAAATCTTACTCTATAATTAATAATCAATACAATATTCACAAGCGATTAAGGAGAAACTCTATCTATTCCAAGGTCATTTCCCAACTAGCGATTCAAAGTATTATCTAGAGTCATTCAACAATCGATGTACCAGAATAATAGCAGTGACAATAGGCTTTATATCATTTCATTGATAGATGATCTAATAAGATGCTAAAAGTCATTATTGGGGAAGAGAATTTCGGTTCTATTCCCTTTAGGAAGAAGTGACATAATCATCTCCACTTAGCCGAGCAGTACCTCTGACTGTCTTTCTTGTCCCCAATAGGAAAAGAAGATGGGGATGAACTAGAAATCCATTTAATGCAAGATATCTGCCCTCTCCATAAGCTCCAGTTCCTCCTCTATCATTTGAAAAGTTAAGCCATTTTTTTGGAAATAAAACATGTAAAAAAAAAAAAAGTAGAAATTGGTTAGAATGTCTCTGGCAGAAAATATGACCGTATGTTGTTGAGCTTTAAGAAGTTTATGATGACATAAACTTTATTGTAACTATAGCCTACTCCCTTTAATGCATGGAGGATTACTTTGAGATAGAGATATAAAGGCATCCATTTGGCTGCCTTTTTATGCATGACCAGCTGTTCACTGTACTGACTTATGGCTATAAGGTGGTGGTGTTTTTTTTAAAGAGACTTAAGATATAGTCCTGAAATCCAATAGTTGATACCCAATTTAGCAGATATAAATTGGGAACCATTTTCCATGAATAGTAAGTATAAAAAAATGCAGAGAGTGGGTTGCAACATTTGAAATGCTTGCCTCCCTGTCTGCCATGGTGCAGAGGGAAGTGGTGGTATGGGAATGAATGAACGTTCTTTTAATCTTTTTTTTTTCCTGTATGCACTAATCAAATGAAAACTACTGAATGCTTCAAAAGCTTTGCTTGGGCCTCCAGAATTTCTCCCAAAAACTGGTACAAAATTTACCTTTCTAACAAGGCAAAAGGGATATAGTATTAAAATCATGAGGAGCAACCACTGCAGTGATATTTAGCCAACAATGGAAATTAAATCAAACTTCCTTTCTATCTTGTATAGCCAAACACTTCAACTTTTCAGAGCCTAATTTTTGCTGGCTTGCCGTTCAAAGGCCAACCTAGATATCTCTTGGTACCACCAAAAATATCATATTTTTCTGCCAATCCTTTGTGTGCATGGAAGGGGATGCTCGTCTTTAAAAGTCAATTGCAATCCTAATTCTTCAATCTAACTCTATTACTTGTAGAAAACAGGATCCAAACCAATCTATTGAGTAGAGATGGGCAGAAAATATTTCTGAAGTGAAAGACTAGTTTCCAGAGCTTAGTGACACTGATTTGTTGAGATAAGTGGCTTTACTCCCATGGAAAGTGGCAATTTATTCAAGCAGTATTTCTCAATTTAGTTTGCAACTTAGAGCAGCCCATTCTGGCTTTCAATCCTGCAAAACCATTGTGAAAGGTTTGACTAATTCTGGCCAGTATTTCCTCCTCCAGAAGAGCAAAAACATGTCTTGCATGTATCCGGCAAGGAATGAAGAATTCAACTTTTTGATACTTTTAGAAAAACATAAAGGACCACAGCTTCGCATATTGCTGGAAAAATAGCTGGCAGTCTTCTTCTCCAGCAAAGTGCTGGAAGTCAACAACTTTCAGAAGCTCCCTCTGATGGATTATTTGGCTGGGAATTATGGGAATGGCAGTCCCAACGTGTTTGGAATATGCCAGATTAGAGAAAAATTGTCCTAGGCAGATACCGTGTCTCTCATATAAAAAGGCCGGCTCTTTTTTTTTTTTTTTGAGCCCCCCCAAAATGGCTAGGCCACCTTTTTGGGGTGACTTAATTCCCCCCCCCCTTGCATCTTTGGTGGGCGGGCGGCGACGGCTTGGATGTTGACCTTGGCGTTGGTGAGGCACTTAGTATCGGGGTCAACGCAGGCAGCACCATATCTGGGTGTGCAACAAAAGTATTTCCTAACAGCAAGCGCCCCCACCATTCCTCCCCATTTCGCATGTTTTAATATAGGCCTTAATTTGGGAGGAGGGGCTTAATTTCATTTCATGCCTATAAAACATGCTGGGACTTCCTATTGGGGGAGGCTGTATTGTTGGAGAAACAGGGTAGTATTTTAAGGACATAGCAACTAGAAGGCCTCTGCAGCTTAGCTCAAACCTAGAAGGGATGCCAGTCTTTTGTGGTAGGCCTGTTCAAGAAACATTGCAAGAATTACAGGAATGCCATACTTTATTGTTGTAAGGCATAATAACCACATTTTGAAAGCCCGCCATTTTCCCTCAGGCCCTTCTTATCCCAAAGTAAACCATGGTTGAAGTTATTTTGAATTTCTCTTTCATGCCTTCCCTCAGGACAATCTCAGTTGTCTTTTATTTTCCAAAGTTATCTCTGCATTCCCCTAAATGAGGTGAAATTTGTTCTTCCTGTTTCTAGCTCTCCCTTTTGGAAATTGCTCAGGGTTGACATGTGAGGTAATTCTCTGCATTGGGATCTCCTGCTCATGTTATACGATTTCTAAGATTTTAGAACCATCCAAGAAGCTCTGTAGCAGGGGTATCAAACTCACGGCCCATGGGCCAGATGTGCCACACGCTGGCCACACCCACACCCAGTTTAGCAAAGGGGGGAAAGTCACAATATATCATGTGACACTGCCATGACAACGCGAGTTTGACACCCCTCCCCTAGAGGAAATATTCATTCTAGAAGCACACAAGTACCTCAGCAGGCAGGAGATATAAAGCCGAGTAGAAGTGATAGGAAAATCTCCTTGGCATACAACCTCTTTCTTTCCCACACTCACCTTACACTGTGTACAAATATACAGGAGGGGAAAAAATGCTTATACATTAGGCGCTAGCTGTGGGTAAATAGTGCTGGGATTAAGTTTTAGCTTAAAACCCATTAGAAATAAATGGGAACCAACTATAAAACTGAATGCATATTATTCAATCAAAGTAAATGTTATATCAAATTAGACACAGTCTTTGTCAAAACTTTGTCAAAATGGGGGCTCCTTTCAGACTGAGTCAGTCTTTTGAAAATCCATCACCATCCTTGCAAATAGGGCGTTTTGTTCCAAGCAAGGAACAACCTCAGAGCTTTATTTTTTCATTTTACTGTATCTCTTGAGAAAAATAAATGCAATCATTTCCTTTCACTGGATTTGGAGCAAATATTAGTTCTAGGTTGTGCTATCATACGGTGTTTGCATTCCACTGCTAACTACAGGATGGGAAAAAGCAAACTACTATCTAGAGAATTGGCTCTCTCTTTTTTTTCCCAGAAAGCATGCCTTTTCAACAAATCTCTCAGGTTGTATATAGACCCCTAACTATCACTTATCTAGGGACTTTGCCAGCTAGTACAGATTAGTTATCTTTAATTAATTCAGAGATGTTTCTGTAAATTCAACTGGTCAAATGGCAGACTACTGTATGGATGAAAAAGAGATGGCAATTCAAATTACACATTGTGAATAGATACTTATTTTTAAAACCCATTCTAAAGATTATTTTCTAACTGCAAGAATCATAACACAAAAGACAATTTCTGTTACAGATTTGTGCTGGAAATAAGTCATGGCTCCTCTTCCTAAGAATCTTAGGAACTGTAGTCTGATTAGATTCCTGAGAAAGCCTGACTGCTAAAGCACCTTTAAATCTATAATGAAATCTCCACACAGGACTTCCATGGTGGAGTTGATGGGATCAAGTACGGCAGCCAAAATTCAAAGATAGAGCTCTTTTATTTTCCTGCCCGACTGCTCTTCCTAAAGGGAGTATGGAAAGGAGCAATTCATTATGATTAAAGAAAATAAAAGGAAATATCAATTTTTGAAAAGCCGTTATATCTCATACCAGATCAGAAATAAGTTATTCTGCAGTTAGTGTCTGGTTAAAAATCAGATTAGATAGAGCACTGAAGGGCTAGAAGCTAACTGTTTTATTATGTATCAGCTAGGAATCTGTGTCTCATTCCTAGGCAATTAGGGACACATTTATTTATTTCTAATTCCAATCTATTTTGATTACCCAGAACAAAAAAAAAGACAAGTTTGTACACACTCAGAGATGTGTGTACACCATGGTTGTCCAATCTTTTGGCTTGCCTGGGCTACATTGAATAAAGAAGAATTGTCTTGGGCCGAATATAAAACATAAAATAAAATTAAGGTAAATAAATAACAAACTTCCATTATTTTTTATTATCTTCTGATGCCTCATTACTAGCTGTCCAGGGCCACATGTCATCATGGGCAACATGGGTCACACATTTGGCTTGAAATACCTAAATTTTACTAAGAACAAATACCACAGAATGATTGTAATTCTCTCCCCTCCCCTGCCTTCTGAACCATCTAGAAATATACTCTCCTGCTCGAGCAGGGGGCTGGACTAGATAACCTCCAAGGTCCCTTCCAACTGTTATTCTATTTTATATCTGGCCACCTACTTTCCCCCCACATCCCAAAGGGCTATTGCTTATCAGTACTAGGATAGAGCCCCATTATCAAACCAAAGGGGGGGAGGCCTTTTTCTGTGTGCTTTCCTCTGATCCTTATATTGTCACCTCAACTTTTGTGACAAGGCTAGGGAGTGACCAAATCCAGCTCATGCGTGCCATCAGTCATGTAAGTGCAGCTTCTCAGTGGGAAAACATTGGGGCTTTCCAATGCATCTCTCTTATCTCCAAAATTTCTGATTGTCCCCAAAAGGACAGAAAGCCCTCTGTAATGGGCCAGGTGGGTCAGCCCTTCCCAATTCCTATGGCTTTTGTCATGCCTTGATGAACATCCACTCAAGCCATAACCTTCCAATTGATCTCAGGGCTGTATGGAGAATGAACCTGCCTCAAGCATTGAGGGTCCAAATTCTGCTCAAAGTTTAGCTTCTCTCCTTTCCTTCCATTCTGGATCCGTGGTGTCCCACATACTAAATCATTGCTCATATTTCAAGCTAGGAAGCAGGCCCTTATCTTGCCTCCTGGGAGCTGCAAAGGGCCACAGATTGAAACCTCAACCGCATTCCTTCTCAGCATGAGGCTTGCTCATTGGTAACAGATGCCATTTTTTTTCCCTGCAGAAAACTGAAACATCTAGAAAAAAACGGTCTGGCGAAAATGAAATCTTAGGCCAGTCTTGAACGCTGGCAGAAGCTCAAATTACAAGTTGCAGTATGCAAGGATCTCAACCATATTCCCTGGCCTACAGGCAATCATAAAATGCAATTTTTCTGTTGCGATACCAACCCCTCTCCAGATCTTCTAGAATTCAGCCATTTTTGACCTCCATAAATTGGACAGACACACGTCTCAAATACAGAAAGCTTAAACAAGGAGGAACTACAGGCCACATTTTCAAAGGGGACAGTTTACTCTCTATCTTTTCAATTCTCAGAACAAAAAGATTTTTGTATCCCTGTGAGGTTTTTTTCAGAAAAAGAATAACTTAGAAAGAATCAAACTAGAAAAAGGGGTGGAAATACTTACTTTCTAAAAGAAAGGAGGTATTCCTGTTAATTGCATCTTTCCCAAACTGTCCCAAACTCAGCTCTCTTCCCTGCTCCCCAACATCTTTTAGAGATCTGCCAAGGATAAATTCAATTTTCGTCTTGGGTCTCAAGATGTAAATGCTTCGGATGATCCCAGTTAGAGTGACAGAGCAAGAAAGGAACGAACAGCTGTCCTCCATGGGCAGGGCTGACACAGAGAAATGTGAGCCTGGATTTGGGCATGAGTTGCAGGCCAAACACAGGTCCAAAGGAGGCAGTAGCCTATCAGATCCGTCCAGCCCTTGGAGGACCTGCAAGGGCTGAGATTTGTCCCAAACTGACCCGGAAAGATGGGTTGCTTTGCCCAAGAGGAGAAACAAATTCTGACTGTTCAGTGCTGCAAAAATTTGCACCCATCAGGATGCCTGAAGTTGAGACTTCTCATCGATACAGGTTGCTTGCTGAAAGTCAGATAAAACATAGGCTTAATATTTCATTTCCAACTCTCTTGACTGCAGATTTTCTCATGCAAGTACCTAGCAGCAAAGCATTATAAAATCCACCCCGCTCTCCTGTATCTTCTGAACTGCACGTTTCCAAACTGGAAATAATACGTTTTTCTTTCTTTTGGCCAAATTGCCTCTTAGGTTTGCACATTGGATTCAAGGTATGACAACAGAAATCCCAGCTTCTCTTGAAAAGCAAGCTGATCTGGTTAGCCAATGCAGTTTTGTGGTTAAGTAATTGACTGGCCCAAAGGAGAGCTGCGTTTTGGTCCACCCTTGACCTCCAAAGCTCACTGGGTGATTTTTGGCCAGTTATTCAGCCTTCACCTACCTCTCCGAATGCTCATTGCGATGGAAATGGGAGGAAGTAGTGCTTGGGCAGGATAAACAATAAATAAATGTACAGGCAAACTCCTTTATAACGTTGTTGTTAGAAGAGAAAGCACTAAATAATCCCCTTGAGCTGAATAAAAGGTAGAATATAAATCAAGTAAGTCAATAAATAAAAAAGACCAGAGGACTGATACACATTTTTTTTTCTCCAATAAACTTGGCCTATTGTACATGCCTGCCATTTCAAATTATATTCAAATCTCAGAAAATGATTGGTGTCCATAAAAAGCTTATAGGAGAAAAAGTAGTTATTCGCTTAGAGGAGAACTAGCAGTCATTGGAGCTGAAATAAAATAAATGTGGAAGGTCCTGGGTTTTGCAAGGCTGACCTGAAGCAAGGAACTGAATGCATGTGGCCTTTCAGTGGGTTCATTAATGCAGCACGTCAAGACTAAATCTTATTATTTTGCAAAGTACCACACAGATTGCTATTTACAGCATAAATGGGAGATTTAATATAATAATGGGGCAATGCTGCAGAGTTTGCCTGGGTTTTTTTTTTTTTTTTGCCATTTGAAGAAAAGTGTGGTTTATTTTCTTAACTAGGCTTTGCCAATTTCAGGATTCACACTAGTTTCAGTGAATTTCCAAATTCATAATGTTAGGAAATAATTGGGAGTGCTAGTGATATATATTTTTTCCTGGTCACTAAAAATGGACCCAACAGGGAACAAAAATTTGTTTCCTCAAAAGTCACCTAGCTGGAAGGTGGGACTTAAGCCTTCTTCCTGTTGTTATTTGCATGCCACTCAGAGTCACTTTCATGAAATCAGTGCCTATGTACATTGTATAAACAAACAAGCAACCATTTCTTGTTGGTACTGTTAATATTGGGTGTTTTTCCACCTCTGCAATTAGTTGATCCCTCTTTCTAAAGCAGGGGTGTTGCTGGCTGAAGAATTCTGGGAGTTGAAGTCCACAAGTCTTAAAGTTGCCAAGGTTGGACACCCCTGTTCTAAAGGATCCTGATTCTGGCTGGATTATTTATATAGGCTTTGGTTGGCTCTTCACGTCCAACACTGCTAGGGTGGAGGCCCTCCTTTCAGTCTCCTTTTTTTGACTGCTTCCTGGGATATCTCATTCTTTGGCACCAGCCTTCCTCAAAGTAGGCAAGGATCTTAGCCATCGGAGAGTTTTTGCCATGAATACTGCTCACACCTGGTCTGGCTGCCGGTAAATCAGTTCTCTGTCCTACTTCTCTCCCCCGCTATTTCATTATATGAATTCTTCTCTGATGAATAGAATAGGAAATATTCTTTATTGGCTAAATGTGAATGGTTGCACAAGGAATTTATTTCTGGTGCATAAGCATAAGCTTTCAGTATACACACAGCAACAAAATGATAAATCATAAATCATAAGATACAACCAACAAAATGATAGTCATGAGAAACCAATAGGAGTAAATAATAGGAATTATGAGAAGAATAGTAGTACAGTCCTGCTACATGGTTAAATAACTTTCGGCATAGACTGTGCTGTTGGGAATTATGGGTTTAATAGAGTGATGGTATAGGAGTAAAAACTAACCTTGTGTCTAATTGTTTTGGCATGCAATGCCCTGTAGCAACATCCTGAGGGAAGAAGTTAAAACAGTTTATGTCCAGGTTGTGAGGGGTTTGTAGGTATTTTCTCAGCCCTTTTTCTAGCTCATGCAGTATACAGGTCTTCAATGGAAGGCAGGCTGGTTCCAATTTTTTTCTGCAGTCCTATCTGTTGAAGTCTGTGCCTGTCCTGTTTGGTTGCTATACTAAATCAGACAGAAAACTATAAATGACAGACTCAATAATTCCTCTGTAGAACTGTACCAGCAGATTCTTGGGTAGTCTTGTGTTTTCTGAGTTGACGCATGAAGAACATTCTTTGTTGTGCCTTTTTAATGATAGCTTTAATGTTATTTATTTTATTTTAAATATGCATATAGCTACCCATCTATTAACCATCTCTGGGCAACTTCCAATTAGAAGTTATATAACATATATACGTATTATAAAACTAAACACATTAAAGCATTAAAAATAATGAAGACCTAGTGCTAAGTCAAACTTCTAATGTGCAATTTTTCAATCTTATTCCATTATTTAGGGGAAAAGCCAGATCTTCAAAAGCTTTATGGAAGGCTGATGAGGGTAGAAACCTCTCCAATTTCAGGGAACAAAGTGTCCCACAGGGCAGGAGCTGCTATGGAAAAAGTATATTTCTCCTATTCTTATCACATGTTGTAATACTGCTTCTTTACTCTTCCGACAGTTCTCTGAAATTCTTCCTGAGATATTTCTTTGGTTTCTCTAATTGATAACTTCCACCAAAACATTTTTTTAAACATCCAGTTTGCTTTCTTTCATTTCTTGGTCTTTGGCAGTCTCTTTTCACATTCATCCCTTTTTTGTTTCATTTCACGGTTCCTCTGGTTCAATTAGATTTGGCTTAGGACATCAATTCCTGATGTTCTTCTTGAAAATGGTAGTATAAGCTCAAGATCATGTGGTGGAAACTGGAAGGCCTTTTCCTTCCTCCTTTACTTGACTTGGAACTAGCAATGAACAGTTTATCATTTGCTCCAGAGTCAGCCTCTGACCACATATATGCTGCTATAACAGAAGGAACTGAATGGTTAGAACAATAACAAACAGCATAATCCTCAGACTGAGAGTCCAATTTCAGTCCATATTGATTTGACAATGCCTAAGATGTCAACATGTAGTTGACTCTATTCATCTTTCACAATTGTGAGCTTCCCCACGTTCTGACATTTCATGTTTCTACTCTGATTGTCTTTGCAGTTTCAGATTTTCTTTGCCTGCATGACATCAGCAATTAGATATCGCAAGCCATTGAGCCATGTCATAAACATTTTTAGTATTAGAAACATCCTTAGCTGTTCTTCAATAGCATTTTGAGCATCATCCAGCCTGGGGAACTGTTATTCATTTTAATATTATCTCATCTATGTGGTTTTCTTGGTAAAATAGAGGCTTATAGTGCTTTCTCCCAAGCACTATGAAATCATATCATTGGTGTCACTAAAATAATCATCAACTTCCTCCTCCAGCATCTTCTGATATTTCTGCCGCAACATCAATATGCTGAAATGTAGAGGACTGGCTTTTAATCAAGTAGCTGAGGTGACTTTCAGACTTTGGGTAACCCTAATGCAGAGGTCTCCAAACTTGGCAACTTTAAGACTTGTGGACTTCAACTCCCAGAATTCTCCAGCCAGCATGGGGACCCCTGCTCTAATGGATTTATATATTGTTGACATCTGCCCTCTCATGAACACACCTTCCAGGAAGAAGTAACACAGCAGACTTGAGGGGGGCATCTTAATGAATTCATTAATAACTATGTGAAGGAAATTCCTCTTGCACTAAGATTCTGAATTGTACTAATATTTACTGGAATAGATCTAAAATTTGCATTATTATTACTTTTCTTGATTTTACCCACCCATGTAGGGTTTGATATTACTTTTGAGGACATGTACATTCTGAGTGTGCTATCAATTACAACTTTTGAATGTGCTCTATACTTTTGATGGCCAACTTGAAGGCTGAGTTGACGTCTTGCACCAAATCAAGGATGAACAATCCCTAGGCCATTTCTATTAAGATAACACTCCAAAATGTCAATTCTCAAGAAAATATTTCCTCCTAATAATATAAGGGAAAAAATAAATGCACAGAACTTTTCCACTGTACCCATTTTGTCTACTAAACTCCCCACAAATTGTCAACCATTTTGAGCTCCCCCATTCTAACTGTATCACAAGATTCCATCTGCAGACTCCCAGGGACTTTGTTGCATTTTTCAATAAGTGTTTAACCATGGTTTGTTAATTAATCCTTAATGGCTACAACACAAATCATGGTTTATGATTGGGGTGAGTCTTTAGGATGCTCCTTAGGAATAAAAGACACCCCTTAAAGTGGATGAACCAACCTAATTGGGCTTAAGAGCATAGTGCGCAGAAAGGATTGGGGTCTCATCACATTTTCCCCACAGTCAATCAGAAATCAAAAATAGACACAGTGGGACTCATAACTGTCAATTTCCTGGATATAGAAGACATTTAATTAAAGGGCTGTCTTCACACATCATACTAAGCCATTCAATTTGTAATTGCTGTAAATCAGCCAGTCAGGGAAAAGTAGGCTAACTACAATAGTATTTCATCCAGTCTATGAACTCAACCTTTGGATTCTACAGTAATGAAGAGAAACGGAGTTCCAATGGTCAATATACAGTATATGTTTTAAATTTTCTACCTCAAGACTGGATGGAACCAAACAAGTTATGCTAAATGTCATTTGATTATGTGTACTCTATAGAATTCTAAAATTTTCTGGAATACAATACAGGTAGTCCTCAACGTACCACCACAAATGAGGCCAACATTTATGTTGCTAAGTGAAGCATTTCTTCAATGAGTTTTGCCTCATTTTGCAACTTTTCTTGCCACAATTGTTAAGTGAATCATTGTTAAGTTAGTAACATGGGCTGTTAAGTGAACCTGGCTTCCCCAATGAATTTGCTTATCAAGAAAGTCGTCAAAAGTGATCACATGACTCCAGGACAATATAACCATCATAAATATGAACCAGTCACCAAGCATCTGAATTTTGATCATATGACTATCATATGACAACTGCAACAGTTGTGTGAAAAATGGTCATAAGTCACTTTTTTCATTGCTGTTGTAATTTTGAACAGTTGCTAAATGAACTGTTGTAAGTTGAGGGCTACCTGTATAGCTTTGCTGTCTTAAAGCAAATCCAGAACTGAATATCACTGTTACAGAATTCTTTAACCTCGTATTTGATTGATACTGAAATATCATTTACCTGAAAATCAACTCCAACAGTTTTGCTTGTTAAGGGATTGATTCCATTCCTCCCATGAATTTCGAAAGAGAAAAACATTATTTAGCCAAGATCAAAATGTTTTACAATTCTACACAAAAGCCACCACATAGATACTACCAATTGGGAATCCATATCACTGTAGCTCTTCAACGATATTGGGTTTATGTATTGTAATTTCTAAACTGAGAAGATTCCGAACATGATGCTTGCTTGGATGTCAGTCTTGCAACTTGAAATTTTGTAACCTCTACCCCTTGATATGAAAATGGCTGTGGAGAGACAAAGAGTTTCAAAGCAATTCTTGTGGAGCACCCCTTCTTCACTTGCTCAGCCTTCCTGAAACATTTCATGCAATTATTAAACCACAAGCAACTCTTTTTGCCTTTTCAGAAAATTCTTTGTTAAAACAACTTTATTTCCTAATGCTTCATACTTGCCAAGAGGTTTTACATTAAAAAAAAAAAAGAAATTATCCAAGTCAGAGGTGTTATTAACTAATTAAGGCTAACAGATAAACTCTGTAGAAAGCTGCTATTGGGGGAAAAAAAACACCTTTCTTCTTGCCTTTTTGTATACAGCAGCCATTGTCACCTTCACATCTCCATCTCCAAGGTAACCACAAATCCACAATTTTTCCTCTGGCTACCATGACTGAGAATTCTGAGATTTGCAGTTCCAGCATAACTGAGTTTACCACTTTACCCCATGCTTCCTTTTCCAGTAGGCAATCTGAAATAAGACAACATAAAATCAGAGCTAGGATACACGATGTCATTGGAAAGGCCTGGCCTACGCCAAATTCTCCCCAACTGCATAATATTAGGGCTATTTTGCCACTAAAATGCAAATAGCAGCAAAATAACCTAAATATATGCTATTGAGCCATGGTGGCGCAGTGGTTAAGAGTGCAGTACTTCAGGCTACTTCTGCTGACTGCCAGCTGACCGCAGTTTGGCAGATCAAATCGCACCCAGCTCAAGGTTGACTCAGCCTTCCATCCTTCCAAGGTGGGTAAAATGAGGACCCAGATTGTTGGGGGGCAACATGCTGGTTCTGTAAACTGCTTAGAGTGCTGTAAAAGGACTGTAAAGCAGTATATAAGTCTAAGAGCTATTGCTAATTGAGGAGAACTTGACATAGGCCAGGCCTTTCCAATGATATTGTGTATCAACCTCTGATTTTATAAGTTTTCTTCTACAAAAGAACAGAGTTAAAATAATGGACTGTAAAAATTGATCATCTTTTAGCAGTCACCAAATTACCAGGTTATTAAATCAAGCAATAATTGTATAACTAAATTTCAGAAGCAAAACATTTACAACATGTCTGGGTATTCACATTGGATGATCATGGGGTAGTTTTAGATTAAAGTAAATTCCAGCTGAAAGTAAACGATTGGTGCAAATCTAAAACCATAATTTATTGCACTGTAATGTATTAGGCTAAAATTTTCACCTAAGGTTCTGGGGGCAAAAATACAATGGGAAACTAAATCTAACATAAACTAAAACCGAGCGTTGTCTTAGTGCTACACACACAAAATGCGCTTACACACATCTCTACTGCTGTGGCTAAGAGGAGGAAAAAAAATGACTAGTTTTACAAGTACCTTATTTTTTTCACGTAATACAAACTAGGATTATATATAAACAACATGTAAAAACTCTATGATCTTAACTGTTATGTCCCTTTTGTATGCAATTCTGTTTGTAATTCTTCAGAATTAAAGTGCAGTAAGGATGAGGAAAGGGAGCATCTCCAAAGGGCATCTTACCTGACATTTGTGTTGGGATAAAAGCAGAAATTCAAACTACTTGCTGCTCGGGTATCCAAGAGTTCAGTGCCAACTTATTATGCTTATTTTATTGTTATGAATTTGATTTGTATCCCACCTTATTATTTTTACAAATAACTCTAGGCGGTGAACGTATCCAAACACATCTTCCTTCTCTTCCTATTTTCCCCACAACAACCACCTTGTGAGGCAGGTTAGGCTGAGCGAGAATGACTGGCTCCAAGTCACCCAGCTAGTTTTCATGGCTAAGGCGGGACTTAAACATGGTCTGCTGGTTTCTAGCCTAGTGGCTTAACCACGAGACAATACTGACTGTATAACTCAAGATTCAAACTGGCTCTGGCTTAAGACTATATCTAACCTTACCTTCTGCCCTCGCTCACTTCCACCCCCAAAAGGCTAAATATAATATTCCAACTCTGCCTCCTAACGTTATATGTCTGGGATTGAAAAATAGTCAATGCTACTTGCTTGTGATGGGTTTCCGAACATTCAGTTTGCGAAAGAGAGGTAGGCAGGAAACGGCTTTAAAGTGACAGACGATTCTTTTATATTTAAAAACCAAATAATAATATTAATAATAATAAACCCAGATTAAATAAAATGTACAGTGAATATACCCAGCCAACATCTGTTATGTGCAATTAAATACGGCTCCGTACCGCGGCACAACGCTGAACAAAACAATATACACGTGTTCCGTAGAGGGGGCAAAGGGCATGACATGTTCCTCCACACAAAAATAATTAAAAAAAACAGAAGCCCCCCCCCTCCCGCCAACAAAAAAAAAAAAAACAAATCAATGTCTCTTTCTCTTCATTTTGTCCATATAAATATCTCCAGGAAATTACCCCTTCTACCACCCAAATTAAAAAAAGGGGGGGGGGGAAGAAAGAAGGGGGAGGCGCATGTGGAACTAAAGGAGGCTGGTCTAGGGGCCTTTGGAGAGGGGGGGGGCGAGGCTGGAGATGCCAGTCCAATGTGCTTGTTGCCCCCCCACCCCTCCCTGCCCCTCTGTCTGCCCCTATTGGGAGCTGGCACGCTCCAGCACACGCAGGTCGTAGTTCTTTTTGGCCATACGCAACTTGAAGCAGTTAAGAGAGTTGTTGAGATGCAGGGATGCGTTTTGGGCTGCCAAAGGGCTGGGGAAGACGGCCACGATGGTGTATAAGGCAGCAAGGTCAGAATGCCTGCCGTTCTCTGCAGTCCCGTGGTTATTGTCGCCCCCGCCCCCAGGACGCCCCTGAGTTTCTTTCAGCCACTGGATTTTGGCACCAGACATGGCTAACTGGGTGAAGAGCTTGTCGGCTTCGGTACGCGTGATCCCTTCGGGCAGGTCGGTAACTTCCAAGATGCGGCCCAGCACTGTCAGAAGAGGCAACCGGAGCAAAGAAGAAAGAAGAGAAATATGGTTAGTATCTTCCTCTGGGGAAGTGGGAGTGGGGAAGAGCAAGAGTCTAGGAACAAAATATGCGAGGGGACTTCAGCTTTTGTAAGTTAATAACTTTCTAGACTTCTGACTTGGAGACCTAACTCTCCCGGCCAACCATCTCCCCGGGGACTGAATTCTTGCCTTTTAGAGCCTTTGGCTACTGGCCTTGGAAACAGAACCTAAGGATCATGGGAAGGTTAGTTTTAAAAGTCTCCCCCCTCACACCCCTTCTGTTGAAAGCAAAAGAGTAACATCATCCGTTCTTATCTCCTTTGGGACAATCAACACCTGTTCACTAAGTCAAGCAAGCAAGGCTGAGGAATCTCCTTTGCTACAGTACTACTAAAGTACAGCCTGTTTAAATGAGAGATTTCCCCCACCCACTCACCCAGCAGTGTAGGATACACATCTCCACATATCAAATTGCCTTCGCCGGGCCTTTGGTTATCACTGACTCGGTTCCTCAGCAATGTCTGCAAAACGCTACACCAACCTCCCTCTTTTGGGAAGCTATTCCACCTCTCAGCCAGTTCCTCTCCGTCTGTTTCAGCATATTAGACATTAGCAGGGATGGCCAGTCGTGGAAAAACATAAGAACATAACGAGATTTTTTGGGGGGGGTGTTCCCCCCAGAAATGTTACAAAATCATTCTAGTTCTATCTGAAAGCATCGGATCCAATACAGAGAAAGTTGATTTCTAATCAAGTCCTGCTGGGTGCCAATGTCATGTACGAGCCATATAAAACAAATACAGGTATTCCTTGACTTATAACAATTCATTTAGCGTATGTTCAAAAGTTACAGCGGCACAGGAAAAAAAAAAAAGCTTAGGGCCGTTTTTCAGACTGTTGCAGCATCCCCACAAGTCACGTGATCGAAACTCAGATGCTTGGCGAGTGGTTCATATTTATGACAGTTGCCGTGCCTTGGGGTCGTGGGATTCGCTTTTGCAACCTTCTAACCAGCAAAATCAATGGGGAAGCCAGATTCACTTAACAACTGTGGCAAGAAAAGTTGTAAAATGGGGCAAAATTCACATAACAAATGTTTCACTTAGCAACGTAAAATGTTGGGCTCATCAATGGTGGCCATAACTCGACTACCTGTAACATCAGTGCTGTTGCTTTTAGTTTCAAGTATATTCGCAGTGTTTTGTCTATCTCCTTCAAATATTTTGATGGCAACAATGCAAAGTATATTGGCAAGTTGTTCAAACATTGCTCACCTCAGCCAGATACAATACATTACATCCTGTGGCAGAGATGCCTATTTGAGGCCAGAGAACTACCTATTATCCCAAAATATCCTTGGGCATCATCCCCGGAGACCCACCAACACCAGGTTATTATCTAATTATCAACTAAAATGCTACAGAAAAAGAAAAGGCATTGAAATGTCTGCCCTCATCTTCAGAGACATTCTGAAAATCTCCGTTAGTTGACGGGACCAAAGAGCCAAAGCCCATCATCGATGTTAACTGTGCTCTCTCCCGCCCTAAAAATGGCTTGATTTAATCTGCCAATGGCTTGATGCCAATGGCTTGATTTAATCTGATTGTCCTTTCTTAGAGATTCTCATTCATACGTTCTTATATTCTGTGCACTGCAATTCCCTTTTTGGGGGGGATTTTGGAGAGGGTTTACAAATACAGGAAGAGACAGCCATGGTTGGTCGGTGTAAGCACTCAGACCCCATTGGTGCATTTGAAACTTGTTGGTTTGAGACCTGTTGCTGGGTGAATGGCAGGGGTGGGAGGCTACCGGTTCTGCCCGGTTCCATAGAACCGGTAGCTCTGAAGAGCAGCAGACACCGAACCAGTTCTGTGTTTGCTGCTGTTTGGCCCAACCGCCCACCTGGTCTCTTACCTGTCCTTTATCTCCTGCTTTTTCAACCACAAAACATTGTCACCGAACCGGTAGTAACACTGGTTGAATCCCATCACTGGTGAATGGCCCTTCATATTACCCTGGTAGCCTCTCTGACTCAGCGTCCTTTCTGAGATATGCCTGGTGCCAGATTTATTATCTTCTCAGTACCAGTCAAAGAGGGCTAAGACTTATTTACTGCTTCACCGCACTTTATAGCCCTCTCTAAGAAGTTTACAGAGTCAGCCTCTTGCTCCCAACAATCTGGGTCCTCATTTTACCCACCTCGGAAGGATGGAAGGCTGAGTCAACCTTGAGACAGTGAGACCCTTTTAAGTATCTAATTGCTTTTTATTTTATGGTACGCTTTAATTATCATTCTATCATTGATATTACAAACGTACAGTAAACCATCTAGCAAAAGCTGGTTTTGAAGGGCACCATACACAGAATTTACAAAAACAAAGAAAAAAAAATGGGAAAAAAAATCTTCCAAAGAATGTACTGCAGGTGGTCCTCGACTTAAGACCACAATTGAGCCCCCAATTTCTGTTGCTAAGTGAGACCTTTGTTAAGGGAATTTTGCCTCATTTTAAGGCCTTTCTTGTCAAAGTTGTTAAGCTAGTAACATGGTTGTTAAGTGAAATTGGTTTCCCCATTGACCTTGCTTGTCAGAAGGTCACAAAAGGGGACCACACGACCCCAGGACACTGCAATCGTCATAAATTTTAGTCAGCTGCCAAGCGTCTGAATTTTGAACATGTGACCATGGTTGTAAGTATTGAAAATGGTCATAAATCATTTTTTTCCACTGCTGTTGTAACTTCAAACAGTCACTAAAGGGACTGTTGTAAGTTGAGGACTACCTATATTACAGAGGTAAATTGTAATGTTATAGATCAGTGAAAAAAATGAAAGGAAAATACTGAGATGTAAACTATATGCAGGCTATATAAATGTGACAACTTCCTAAACAATTCTGGGAAATGTAGTTTGGTGGGATGCTTCTAATCACCCCACTTTAAATATAGTTCTCCCAATGTATTCATGAAAGAATGATTGATGCAAAACATTTATAACAACCCCCCCCAAAAAATCCCTTTCTTATAGACTACTCATTAAAAAAAAACCCTACCAATTTGGAAATTAGTATGAGAGGATGATGGCGTGGGTATACATCTTTAACTGTATCTAATCTATATTTCTCCATACCCCTAAATAAAAGGCTCTTCTGGGATATTTCCCTTACAGTAAGCTTGATGTACACTGAATCATTTTCCACAAGGACTCTGTGCTCAGGAAATTAGTCCTTCTGACCATTTGCTTGGCAGTACATCTGAATGTGTGTGCCTCAAGTATGGCAGCATCACAGTGGTTCCAGTTTCCAGTGAGGAGGAGTGCTGGGTCCTAGCAGGCAGGATTCTTTACTAATATTAAACAGGTATGTAACAAATATAGCACCAAGCAATTTTTCCATTGGAGAGTGCAAACAGAGCGGCTTAAAGGAACAGCTCTAATTTGTTTATGGGGGGATTTTCAGCGCCTCTCCTCAATGATTGACATGGGATTTATTTATTTATTTTTTGCTTCTCAGCTTGCCTTGCACAAACCAAATTTGCTTAATGTATCCCAAGAATGATCAAGATTCCTGGAACAGTTAGTTTCAACCAGTAAACTTCCTGACAGTCAGCATTATTTCTTTTTTAAAAGGCATTTGCAGAAGAAAAGGAATAGGCTGTATATCCATAAAACCCAGTATTGATGGATGGGGGCGGGAGAGAGGGAGGGAGAGAGGGAGAGGGAGAGGGGGGAGAGAGAGAGAGAGAGAGAGAGAGAGAGAGAGAGAGGAGTGTAAAACAGATAAATTATGAAGACGGCTGGCTCTATGCATGTGTAAATATGCACGTGTATTTTTAGGAAGCTTGAAGAAATAGTGGCACTAGGTTGGAAGCACTGTAAGATGCCAATAAAATGGCTCCCAGCCCCTTGACATTGACAGCAATGATTTTGCTATTTGCTGCTGCTATCAGACAAGTCCATTAGGATACACCCAGGAGAAGGCACCTGGGACATTTGTTGATGAGGGGTCCCAACAAAAATTATCAGTAGCGTGGAATGAATCAAATCTCCTGAGTCAACATCTACATCTTCAGATGCAAAGTGTAGTACGGGTACTCCTTGACATATGGCTACAACTCACCCTAAAATGTCTGTTGCTAAATGAGGCATTTGTTAAGGGAATTTTGCCCCATTTAATGACCTCTCTTGCCACATTTGCTAAGTGAATTACAGTTTACTATTACTGAACCCAAAGGTATAATCAGTCACGAGTTTGGAGTCTAAGCTCCGGTCGAAGTAAGACAAGAGATCTTCATGACCAAGTTCGACTGGCATCTTGGCAGAGGATAAGCCTACATCAATTTGATCCTTCCAAGTGACCTTAATCTGGCCATGCCGGCTAGTAATTCCTGCAGCTGGGTTGTTTTGGTTCTGGAAGGCTACTATAATGGGACTGGGGAGGTGTCACTTGCCTACATCACTTGTCCCAAGATCTGTGGATGCTGACTTGAGAGCTTGCTTCTTACTTCGGTTGCCATGCTTCATCCCTGTTTGTGCCTATGAGGGAAGAATGAAGGCATAGTAACAGAGATAACACAAATATGAGATCCTTCACATTTTTATGCTGGAATTCATTGCAGGAGTTGGTGCTCCATCCTGGAAAGTTTAATCTTTAACCAATGGGCCAAACCAAACCAAGTTGGAGAAGGAGCAATTTTGATAAATGAAATTTAGCAGGCTTGGAATTGGATGGGAGATTTTGCATTGTGCACACTTTGACTCTCACAACTGGTGGATTTTAAAAGGTACAAAGATCTTACTGAGCCTTCAGCAGTGTCATCAGTAGCCACAAACACAACCAATTACAAAACAGAATATATGGAAATAAATGCTTCATTTGTGCTTATTTAACATCTATGTTTTGTATTATCTGCTCATTTTTCAACATGAAGTAAGTCCTTTGAATATTGGTCTCTGTTTGACAAAATCAGTCACATCATCTTTTTGTTCTGTTGTAAGTATACCTGGAGTTTTCACAGCATATGGAGGCCGGGGGGAGGGGGAGAGAATGTTTGCACCCATTTGCCAGATATATACTACACTCAGCAGTCATTCTCTTATCCTTTAGGGCTAGCAGGAATAGCCAGTCATAGATCTACATTAAAATATTGGTCTGCAACTACCTAGCATTTTTATTTTTGCAGAATGTCCACTGGGCAATAGGAGCCCAGAATAATTCTTGAAAGCAAAGATAACAGGATGATTGCTTGCTGCATGACTGTTTCCTATTTTTGAAAAAATGGAAAGAATCTTAAGAGGGTTGTATTGTGTTGTGTTGTGAAAATTTGGTTGATAGCAATAGCACTTAGACTTATATACCACTTCACACCCGGTGCTTTATAGCCCTCTCTGAGGTGTATACAGCATCAACCTATTGCCCCCAACAATCTGGGTCCTCATTTTACCAACCTTGGAAGGAGGGAAGCCTGAGTCAACCTTGAGCTGATGAGAACTGAACTGCTGCTGGCAGTCAGCAGAATTAGCCTGCAATACCTTATTCTAACCACTGCACCACCATGGCTCATCTAATGTCAAGAAAGTCTAGGATTAGTCACCTCAAGAACTAATCTCTTAAAGGGGGAAAAAAAACCCTCTCAAATGTTGACAACTCAGCTGAGAAACGCTTCCTTGAGGTCTCCAGCCCTGTCTTCTTCTCACCTGGTGTGCTGTATAGCTGGACTGGTTGTGCAAGAGAGGTGGGGGGCAAATGGAGAGATTGTACTGCAGCGGCTGGCCCAACAAGGAATAGCGCCCATCACCTGGGGGGAAAAAGAGACCAAGAACAGTTAATTGATGGCCCCCCAACTCTTTTTTTGTATCACAAAGAAAATTGGGAGAGATGACACAGAGAGTATAGTGATCAAACGTCAATAATCTTTTCTAAGTGAAATTTAGTGGTCTCATGAAACTTCAGCTCTTTAAAAATGTATGTGACTGGGGAAGAGCAATGTCTGTTGAGCATATTGGTGTGATCTTATTAAATCTTCTCTTCTTTATTAAGAAGGACCTTCCTTTCTTCATAAATCAGTCGGTAAACAGTTGAAAACATACCCATTTGCAGGTAAAATGCCCATGTTCTTAATTAGGCAAATATTCAGGTAGAAGTATTTTGATTGCTGTCATTTGAAGCTCCGAGACTATCAAGAATATTGGGATTGTTCAGCATCATAGTATGAAAACATAGAGAACTGTTCTAAAGGGTGAGTGTTACAATCTGTAGTGAAACTACCTTAATCTGAAACTGTAAAGATACTACAGGTAGTTCTTGACTTACAGTAGTTCATTTAGTGACCGTTCAAAGTTAGAACGGCAGTGGAAAAAAGTGACTTATGACTATTTTTCACATTTACGACCACTGCAGTATCCCCATGGTCACGTAATCAAAGTTCAGACCAGTGGCAATTGACTCATATTTATGACGGTCACAGAATTCTGGAGTCCTGTGATCACCTTTTGTGACCTTCTGACAAGCAAAGTTGATGGGGAAGCCAGATTCACTTAAGAACCGTAATTTAATGACGGCAGCAATTCACTTAACAACTATGGCAAAGAAAGGTCGTGATGTGCGGCAAAACTCACTTCACAAATATCTCACTTAACAACAGAAATTTGGGGGTCAATTGTGGTCATAAGTATTACTTGCACTGCTACTGACAGGTTGGCAAACAGGGCACCAAGCAAGAAGCTCAGGTCTGCAAGACTGAAATCACTTGTATGAAATCACCCTTTAGTCTAATACAGGGGTGTCAAACTCAAGGTCCATGGGCCACATCCAGGCCACAGGGTGCTTAAATCTAGCCTGATGGGTGCTTAAATCTGGCCAGCCTGGAAATAGCAAAGGATGAGCCCGTGGTGCCTCTGCTAGCAAAAACAGGGTATGTGTGTGTGTGCAGGTGTGTGGGGGGGGCGTGCGCACGTGTGGTTCCGCGTGCCCCTTTTTCGGCCTAGACGCCCTCCTGCAGCACCCTGCCAGGCAAAACTGGCCAGCCGGGTACTACAGGAGGCGTCTGACCCGTCCTCCCCACCCACCCACCCACCCGGCCCACGGAGGAGAACTACAATGCTGATCTAGCCCTCGAAGAAATCCCGTTTGACACCCCTGGTCTACTACAAACACACTGGCTAATCTTCCATTACGCTCATTATGATCAATCCTCTCCCGCTACCTTTATTACCTTGTGCTGGGCCCACAGGCCGGGGGAACTGTGTGAGCACCGGAAGGGGACTGAGACCTGTGCAGACACTGTTGAGGCTGGTAACGGGTGATGGTGTAGGGGACTGTGTAGGGGATGTGATAGGGCTGTTCAGCTGGGTGCTGCTGGCCTAGAAACAGAGGGGGAAATAGTCAAAAGGATAATCGCACAGGCTGGCAATGAGCACAACTACCGACGACCCAATCTTTTCTCCCTCATCCCCTTCCTACCTGAGCGCTGGTATCTGGGTTATAGATGTCGCCAGGCTTCTGACTTCGCTGGTCTAAACTGTAGTACTTGCAGTGGTTCCATTGTACCATGGATGAATTCTGAGGGGGCTGGGGGCCATTGGGCACGTTGAGTTGCATGACCACAACGCCAGGCCCTGCCGGAGACACCCCTAAGAAGAGAAGGAGGCGGGAATGAGATTATTATGGATGTTGAGTTAAGCATCAATCTTCTTGGTCTCTTTCCCAGCCTCTTCTCCTTGGGGAGGATGTGGTCACAAGAGAAATGTCATGGGAATCCATTTTAACATAGGCAATTCCTGGGTTATGGCAGCATTTCCTTCCTGGACCTCTTGAGCAAGTCTACTTTCGCACAGTTTGCCTGCCGTATTTGCATAGGCACAAAATGGCAGATGGCTTCCTCCATGTATACAAAAGAGTATCCAGCTTTTTCTGCAAGGGCTAATATGGTGGGTCGTGTTTTATGTTCCCTGCACACAGTTTAAACACATGCAAATTGGCTCAACTCAGAGACCACCTATGCTAGCATTTCATCATCTTATTAATGTACATGGCCGTTCATTTCATAGAACTACATTAGCAATGAAATAAATTACTTGAAATAAATTATTTCTTCTCAGAAATCTTATGAAATAAATGTTAAAAGCATGAGGAAAAAAAAGCAACAAGTTCTAAAAAGTATAAAATTGAGGCATGGTGTATGATTAGACACATTAAATGAATGAGTGTACATTAAATATTTTAGAAAAGCATTTCAATTAGAACAGTGAGCAATAAACCAGACTGGTTGACTCCTGTAATAGACCAATCTTCCTTAACCTGTTGTGCCCCCCTCTGGTACACACTGGGACTGCAACTCCCAGCATTTCCAAAAACAATACTACCAATCCAATCAATCAACCAATCAGAATAGAGCTGGAAGGGACCCTTGAGGTCCTCTAGTCCAGCCCCCTGCTCAAGCAGGAGACCCTACACCATTTCAGACAGGTGACTGTCCAGTCTCTTCTTTTTAAAAAAAAAAACCAGTGATGAAGCAACCACAACTTCTGAAGGCAAGCTCCAAAGAACCTTTGGAGGTCTCCTCCCCAAACCTTCTTATCCATATAAAAAAACAGGATACACAGATTTTCAAGGCGTTCATCTTCATTTGAGGAGCATCAATCTCAACAGAATGAGGGGTTCTCCCGTGTCTGTGATCAAAAGTAAAAGCAGCAGGATGGCCCTCTCTCCCCACCAATGGAGATGACCCCCCAGGCCCCAAATCTCAGCCTGCAACCAGACCAGAAAGCATCCAAACAATCCTTCTCCTCCAAAGGAGGTCTGGGAACTCAGCTGATCCCAGCCCAGCCACCAGGAAACATCGGCCTTTATCCCAACTGGCAGCTGCTCCACGAGGCCGTATCTGGTCCACAGCAAGGCAGCACTGGGTAGTTAATTAAATACATCGATGGAGATTCTCAATCATCCAACAGCGTTGCCTGGAAGTTGAATCATAGCAACCGGATTTCATTCTCTGAAATGTTTCATTGCTTATCCAAGTAGCTTCTTCAGCCTGAGCAAGCTGGTTAGTTGAGATCCCATATATGTCACTTCTAATCTGAATAATTCCAATTCTCATTTCTAATCTGAATAGGCTGGTAAAGAAACGTTTCAAACTGAAAAAGAAAAGAAGTCCAGCTGCCATGATTCAACCTCCAATCAAACTGGAAGTGCTGTAAAACATCTGGAGGGTGTGCTAGGCTGGGAAGGGTACACAGGTAAGGTTATAGACAGGGTAGGAAGACAAGTGGAAAACCAACAGCTGTGAAAAGAATAGATAAATCTTTCCCTTCAGATGTCAGTCTTTTACTTCATGGTAAATGTGAAGACAAAAACTCAGGTGTGTTTGCTTCCCTAAAATGATCCCAGTCTTCAGAATACAGTCTACTCAGGAAGGGATGAGCTACACCTGCTTTGGCTGTGGAGTTATCATGGGCAGTAGTAGCCATATAATGCCACATTAATCAACATTAATCATTTCAAAGATGAGAAAAGAGGAAGAGAAACAGGGACTCAGCACTGGATATAGCAAAAGTTTCCAGATCAGTGATGGCAAGTCTGTGACATGCCTATTAAAAGACTTGCCATAACATTTGAGTGACATGTCAGCATTCACCAACACTCAATAAGTATTCTCAAAAGTATGTCCTGTCTATTGTACAATTTGCACAGACTGTGGAGGCTGTGCCAGAATGGGGTGTACTCTCACATGGCCTCCAGAACTTGTGCGAGAGGCCTATACCCAAGCTTAGCTTCAGGAGGCTCTGAAAAATGTGTGAGAATGGGGGCAGGCTTTGAGGCGATTTTTGGAGACTGCAGAGGCCATGTGAGAATGGGGGCAGGCTTTTGTCTCAAAGGTGTATTTTTTTTTTCCTTCAAAAAGAAACTGTACAGTTTTCTCCTTGAGGAAGATGATGTTTCGCTTCTTATCCAAGCCGTCATCTTCTTCCTCAAGGAAAAAAAAACAGTTCAGTTGCCTTTTGAATAAAGGACCTTTGAGACAACCATGACCTGGATGATTCAGAGTCTTCACAGACAAGGCTTTTGTGTGGATCCTTTGGGAAGTTGCCTGAGAAGATGGTGTTTTTGTTCAGTCTCTGAAAATTGCCCAAGGACAGTTTTCAGAGGCTACAGAAGAATACAAAGAACAACCACCTGAAGGCAAGCAAGTAGATCCTGGGGATCACACATGATCGGACTGCGTTTTTAAAAAATAAACGAATACGTAAAAAATTGTTTCTTTTTTCCTTGGAGGGGGAAATTGACATGCCAATAGAATCAAGTTAGGCATTTTCTGATTTTTTTTGACATTCTGAGCCTAAAAGGCTGTTCCAGGTGCTTTGGATGCTTTTTGTCTCTCTTCAGTCCTGGCTCAATAAAGCCGCTTCCCAGGGCCAGAAGAATTCAAAGTACATTAAACTAATTTACTTAAAAAGTAAAAAATAATTGCCTGAGATGGGTGACAGGGGAGCAACTTTACTCCCCCAAGGTTCAAACTTCAGCTTTTTTTCCCCCCCAGGTACCTTAACAAGAAACAGAGCGAACACATCCACGCACGTGTACGGACAGAGTAAAGGATCTGAAATTGCGTAACTTTCAAGGCCGATTCTTATAAATAAGAAAGTGGGAGACATGGAGGAGAATAATTCTGCTTTCACAAAACTTTGTAGGCTTCGGAGTAAGCTTTTGAAATTGATTATCTTACTGACTCTCCCCTTGAAGGAATGGAAGGATGGAATGTAACATTCAGACTGGCGATATGGTGGATCTGCAGCTTTGGGGTTGTGAAACTGGCTCCCAGTCAACAGTGTGAAGATGCTCACTCTCCGTTTGCCTGGGAAATGGGGAAACTGCACTTGGCCCAGAAACCTCTTCATTTCACTGCAGTGACTTTGAACCATCAAACACACACACACAAACACACACCATACAGAGGCCGAGAGGAAAACAGCTGGGGGAAAGCTGCAGGGATAAAACCAGATGGGCCCCATTCAGCAGAGAAATTACTGCTGCTCCACGGAGTTGGCAACGATGAGCATCTCAGACCCGCCCACTCAACGGCACAGTGAGAAAAATGATTGCTCGGTTAAAACCTTCCTCTGCTGTCAAACACAAGAAAGATCAAAAGGACAAAATGCTACACTTCTATAATTTACAACCCTGGCAATGGCTCTGAGATGCTGTATCTGCTTGCTGCCAAAGGCTAGACTTTACTCTTTATTCATTATTGAAAACCTATAATTACAATTAACCTTATTCACTCGGTTTGGCAGAGGGCCATGACCGAGAAAAAGACCCACAAAGGACACAATTAACAGAGGCCCATTGTGATGCCCTCTCTGCCACCCAGGATGGTATCAGCTATTAAGCAGAGAATTTTGGAACAAGGAATTAAGTTTTCCTTCCATCCTGAGGGGGGTGGCGGGGGGGGGGTTGGACCAACCAGAGGCAATAGAGAACATTTTCCTATAATTTCTCCCTGGCCAGTGTGAGCCAACAGAATGTTCTGGGTAGATCCCTTCAATTAAACAGTTTCAGGGCCCAGGAAACATGCCTTCCCCTAGAAATTTGGGTGGCTCCTTCCCTGATGGAGTTTCAGAGAGGCTTAAAAGACTTTAATGGACTGGAATGATGCCCCTAGTTAGATGTGCTTAATTTGCATATGTTTTGGAATTGGTTGTCTAGATGTTCCATCTTCTTTATTTCCTTCGTAGTATTTTCATTTACCTTCTCAGTATTTTTGCCTTGTTTCTTTATACTGTGAGCAGCCCAGATTTGGCTTGGAGTTGGGCACCATGGAATTAGACAAAATATTGGGAAATCTGGAAGCTTGTTTGGAAGCTTATCTAGAGTTCCTTTACAAAAAGCCAAATCGGGGTTAAAAAGCTTTCTAATCCTAGCTAGAGTTCAAGATGTTTTCATAAAATTAATTGCTACCAAATTGAGCATTTAGATTACTACATTCAAAACCTCTCCAAACATCATATGGGTTCCTACAAATCATTCCAGAAAATTATGGGACAGAATCCAAGAAGAGGCTTATAGCATCTTTATGAGATGGTATTTTACACGTGGTCTACATTTGTACATTCTTGGCAGACCAAAACAGCCTAAACCCAAAAAGGATAGAATTAGGCAGGAAAAAAAATATTGATGGGCAAAAGACATGAGTAGGGATAATTGGGCAATGACAACAATTATGTTTGTCCAGTTTGCATATATGGTATTGGACTGACCTCAAGTTTCCAAAATACTCCAAGGGAAGGAAATATTATTGGATAATAATTACTGAGTAAGGTTTTGCACCTGCATGGGATAGTTAGGAATCAGGATAATTCAGGAATCAGCCACTGGACAGACAAATTACAGTGATCTCCAGGGTTATGTTTCACAGCTAAGATTAAATGTCATTGTGCACATTCCTCCTAAAAATTCCATATCTGGCCATACATTTAGTTACAGCCTGTTTGATTGGGGACATCTTTAGCAAGAGCAAGAGCACTTAAGACTTATATAGTGCTTTACAGCCCTAAGCTATTTACAGAGTAAACAATCTGGGTCCTCACTTGCTTATATACATACAGTGTGTGTGTGTGTGTGTGTGTGTGTGTGTGTGTGTACACACACACACACACACATATCTATCTATCTATCTATCTATCATCTATCTATCTATCTATCTATCTATCTATCTATCTATCTATCTATCTACATACATACATACATACATACATACATACATACATACATATATATAAAATTACCAGTTACTTTCTAACTGGTAATGTACCATAGATATTTTTTTCAAAAGGGTTCAGAAACCTTAGCTAATCCAGAACACCAAAGATCAACAAGAGCTAATTGTAAGGGGAATGATGGGGCATTTATACTCAACAAAAGGATATAATGCATTTCAATAAGGGAATCTACCCAGCCTCATTGGCTATTAGTCAGCTTCCAGGTATAATATACAGCATTATTTAGGGCTTAATATGACTCGATAATTTTGGATAAAGCTGTTGGGAAAGACTTTAAGATCTGAAGAACACATTAATTTCCATCTCATTTGATGCAAATGCAAGACAAGGCCTTCTTTGCCACTGTTTCCAAACTTTGGAATTCTTTGCCAAGGAAGGTCAAGGTAGCTCCTCCATTGTTGGGCCACAGGTCACTTCTATCAACCTAGCTCCGATAGGTTTTAGAGGAGGTGTGTGTACTGTTTGCAGATCAATCACAGTCTCCCAGCTGTTTCTACTGGTAAAGTCCCCAGCCTTACCTGAATACTGTTGCTGCATCTGGGGTGGGCTGCAAGGAGAAGGGGATTGGGGCATCTGGTACTGCTCTGTTCCTGGAGGCTGCAAGAAGCCAACAGAAGGGCTAGAAAGAGGAAAAGGACATCGATTGGAGCAGGTTGTCATCATGATGGGGATAAAACTGTAGTTCTACTAGGAGGGGGCCATTCCTAAAACCCATTTGGCTCAGTAATTTTCACCAGTCTTATGCTATTTGTTGATTTCAATTAAGAGGATACTTATCCAGTGCTTCAGAGAATAGGAACAGTACACACACAGTATTTCCTCTTTCTCTGGTTACTACTATTGGGCTTATGCCAGAAAGATCTATCAGTATAAAAGGAGATCAGACTTAGCCAAGTGAAAAGAGGTAGCCAATGAATCTGCTGAGGGTAAAATCTGATCTTCAGATAATTCGACCAGGTAAATGTTTGAGGAAGTCACACAACATTCTCAGAGACTCTTCCCATGCTGCTTACAATCTTTGTGAACTGTTGCCTTCTGGCAGAAGATACAGAACAATTAAAACACAGACCACACGTTTTCTGAACAGCTTTTATTCCAGCTATAATTGCACTTAACAATGAACTTAAGGACCACCATCAGTGAGCTGTTGGACAGTATTACTTGATCTGTTGTATGGATGCCTGTGTGTTTTAGGGGGTGGGGAATTTTGGTGGGTGGGGTGTGTGTTTGGGGAATGTCGTGTGTGTGTGTGTATGTGTGTGTGTGTGTGTTGGGCCTGGTCTCTGGGTGTTATGTGAATTTCGTTGTTTGTGTATACTGTGTATATACATACAATGACAATAAAGTGTTGTTGTTATTATTATTATTATTACTACTATTATTATTATTAGTTAGGATTTATGCCATTTTGAGGAGCTTCAGCATTTTCAGGAAACAAAATACTAGCAACCTTTTAAGATTATGGATGCTTTTAAAGAAATCAAGGAGGGCTGGAGCATGATGCTTTCTGCTCTGAACTCAGAGGAGCCAACAGAGAAAATGGTAATATCTACTGCTTAGAAACTAGAATTTGCAGAAATGAAAAATTGTCTATAAATATGGTAAATATGTCAAAATAAATTATATTGCCTCATAAAAGCTTCCAAGCTTGATAGATTGGTGAGAATTGTAAACAATTCTCTCTTGATCTCTTTTTAGATGGCCTTCCGGTTATAATTCATCATTGGGTTAAACTGTATACAGTATATTATGTTGGAAATTTCTTTTTAAAAAGAAGTATAACATACAAAAACTTTTAATATATACCAACACATTTATTTTGCTCTTGTACTTTTTTGTATTTTGTAAAGATTTTTCTCTCTCTGCTTTTCTCTCTGCCTCACTCTCCTTCCCTCTTCCTCTTCTTCTCCTGCCCCCACCCCCCCGCTCCACTTTTGCTGGACTAGAATCTGGGAGGTTGTGAGTTCAAATCCTTCCTAAAGCATGGAAGTAGCCTAGTCACCCTTTCTCAATCCAAATCATTTCACAAATTTACTATTATGAAGGAAGTAGAAGGTTGGATTATGTACACAACCCCAAGTTGCACAAAATAAGGGCAGGCTATAAATCTGGTAACTAAATAAATCAATTCCTTTTTTTTTTTAAAGGAATTTTACCAAAGCTGAATTTTGGTAATAAAACTTTTAATTCTCATAGCATAAAATAAGTACAGCCCTTCCATTAATCTAATGCACACCAAGTTTTTTTAAACAAATAAAAAATGTTGATATATCAAGGGAAAATTGTCCAGAGACAGTTTTCAGAGATTGCAGAAGAGCATTTGAAAAGAAAGACCACTTGAAGGTAAGGAGTAGATCCTGGGGATCACACACAATTGGTCTGTATTTTTTTAAAAAAAATAAAAAAATATGTAAAAAAACATTTTTCTTCTGTTTGGAGGTGAGTTGACATGCCAACAGAATCACATTGGGCATTTTCTGAATTTTTGATATTCTGAGCCCAAAAGACAACAGCCCATCACTGTTCCAGGTGCTTTCGATTCAGAGTTTCTGTCTCTTTGCAGTGCTGGCTAATATATGAAGGGAATTTTTGGAAGAAAATAATGACCCTGAATGCACATCTTGGCAAAACATAAAGGTGAAGTAGAGGTTTGGCTCTTACTCATACCTGGTGCCGTTCTGCTGGGCTGGGGGGATAACACTGTAATAGACTGGCATCCCTCCGGCCTGGAGCCCTCCTTGCACAGACTGGTTAGCTGGTACCAAGACGGGCTGCTGAAAGGGTTGTTGGACTACACCTTGAGAGTCATTCGCCACGGGTACCTGCTTGGGATATGAAAAGACAGGAAGGAGTGAATGAAGGCAAATATTTGTGTCCCAGGATAATGTGGCAGGATCCCATCTGGGTCAGTGCCCGGGGGGACCAGAGGTTTTGTCTTCCGAGCTTTCGGACTCGTTCTGGAGCCCATCTTCAGATCCTTCCTATTCTTCAGAAGATGGGCTCTAGCACAAGTCTGAAAACTCGGAAGACAACACCTCTGGTCCCGGGGACTGACTCAGATTGGATCCTGCAGAAAGGAAAGAACACGTGATCTTGGAGGAAAGGACAAACGGCCTTGAAAGGAGATCTGAGTATAAACCAAGAACAACATCAGATTCCTCTCCTTGGGCTAGAAGACCTCCAAGGTCCCTCCGTTATTCTATTATTCCTCCCCAATATTAGACTCTGTGTAACCTCTACAGTTCTCCCTCTCAGCCTCTACAGCTCTGGAAATATTCGTGATTTGGCAGGAATTATTCTGTGGGGTTTTTTTTAAAAAAATGAGACTATATATTACATTGGCAAAAGCCCACTATACTAACATGACATTTGCTCTTTCCTCCCAACTCATCTGCCATCCCATTCTTCCATCTTCTCCTTTTCAGGGTCTTGTGCGCTCTTATTTTTCAGATCTTATCCACATCCAGGAACAAACTCCAACTTATGAAAACTCAGCCTACCAATGCCTTATTTGCCGCATTAAAAATGTAATTGTACTGCCCCTCTCTAAATGAAAATATGGAATTAGTCGCAGGGATACTCTCAGTGTTAAGATTGTCTCTATTTACATTAGTCAACAGCAGTTTTTTTGTTTTATTTTTCCAGATCTGAACTGTTCTCTTCCACTTCCTAGTTCCTACTTTTCAGTGTAACTGTTTATACAGGTAGTCCTCAACTTATGACTGGTTGCTTAGCAACCATTTGAAGTTACAATGGTTCCCCAAAAAGGGACTTACAACTTGGATTTGAAGTTCTAATGTCTTCTTGGCCCTGGTCGCATGACATTTTGGCTACTCAACAACTGACCCACGTTAATGACCATTTGCAGCACCCTGAAGCCATGTGACTTCATCTTACAACCTTTTTGCCAGAAACCAGTGTTTGCTTCTGGTTTCCAGCAAAAATTACCCCACAGAAAACAGTGAGTTCATTTAATGACCATGGCGTTTGCTTAAAGGTTGACATAAAAAGAGGCCATTAAATTGGGTGAAGTCACATGATAATCCATTTTACAGTCATCATGACTTACGACTGAAATTACAGGCTTAATTATGGTCATAAGTGGAAAATTACCTGCATTGTGAATTTTGCATGAGATAACGTACCTGAATGGATTAGTTAAGTTTTGGATTCCTGAAAATAATTACACCAGCTGAAGATTTCCAAGCCATGTAGAGACTACTATGTTTTACCAAAAATAAGACCTGGTCTTATATTTTTTGGGGGGCGACAAAATCAGCACTAGGGCTTATTTTTGCAGATATCTCAGTTTTTCCCCTGTACAGGAGGCCCACTTCTGCTTGCTCACAGCTCCAATGGGGCAGGAGGCCATACAGTACTCCAGTGCTGCCATGAGATGGGGAGGTGAAGCTGCCCCAAGCACCCTGCACCGGCTTACCTCAGAGCCTCTGCAGCCAGGCCATCCCCACCCCGACACCTGCCTTGCCTTGTGGCCATGGCCATGAGCAAGCAAAAGTAGGAGAGTGGCCACATGGGCTTTTTCTGGACATGGCTTCTGGTCCTGCCGCCACAAGGTAGTTGTCAGGCGTGGATGGCTGTGGGGACCCCAAGGGGTGCATGGGGCAGCTCCACCAGCCACCTGCCTCACCTCGCGTCGGTGGCACTGCGAGCAACCAGACGGAACGGGAGGGTGGCTGCACAGGCTCTTAAATAGGGCTTATTTTGGGAGTAGGACTTATATTAGGTGCCTGCACAAAAATCATGCTAGGGCTTATTTTTAGGAAAACACAGTATGTCGCACCCACTTTTTACATACCAGATCCCCAGTGCTATAACATCAGAATTATGACTTCCTTCCCTTCCCTTCGGTTCTCTTCCCTACCCCACTTGCCATCTTTGGCACCACTTACTTGATATGAAGGCAAGGGAGTGTACTGGACCATCAAGCCTTGCATCTGAGTGCCCATGTTTCCTCGTTGGCTGTTCAAGAGGCTCTGGTTTTGGGACTGCTGCACTCCCATCATGCTCTGCATCTGGCTACCCATGCCACTGCGCTGGTTGCTGAGGAGACTCTGGCCCTGGGGTTGCTGCACTCCCATCATGCCTTGGTATGTCTGTTGCTGATTGGACAGGATTGGCTGTAATCCTGCATTGTAATAAGAGAGGGAAGATTATGACACCACAGCCGAGACCCAGAGGTGGGATACCTCTGTTCTGTGTTGAGGTCAGCCAGTCAGCCACTGCATTCAGTGGCCATGGAGCACATTTATCCTTTCAGATGGGATAAAGAAACCCTTTTGAGTTTTCTCTTAAAGATTTTCTTCCCCCCCCAAATGGAAGGAGAACTATTCTGAACATAATTTTATCTGCCTTAGCCACCTCCGGACCAAGGTATATCTTAATCATTTTTCCTTCAGCACCTTTCTTAAGAATATGTAGATAAATTGACTTATGTGTGGATAGTGTGGCCAGTTATTTGACCAAGGAATTGCACTATTGTAGTATGATTTTCAGAACTGATAAATGTTTAGGAATTTAAGCAGGTGGAAATCCAAAGAAGCTCAGCTAATATAAGAGCCAAACTGCACCTTGGCTGAATGCAACAGCTGCTGACATTGCAACTGTTGTGGGCTTGGCTCCTGTCTTCTCTAAAACGCCTAGGGAGAAAAAAAATCATTGAATTGCGTGGGGTCATGACATTCTACCATTTCTCCACATCCTTCTACTGATGGCATAAGATTTAAAAAAAAAAACCCATGAGTAACAGAGCAACGGGCAACCTGCAGCTCATATGTGCCCCCACCACCACCATATCCCTCATGTCTTGTGATCCTATTGCTACAATACAGCAGTAAACTAGTTAAATTTTTCATAGCGTTTTTTTTCCAACCCACCCTTCTCATTGCCACAGGTAGTCCTCGACTTATAACCACAACCGAGCCCAACATTTATGTCCCATTTTTCAGTGCAGTTGCACTAAATGAACTGTTGTTAAGTCAAGGACTATCTGTACTTAGTTCATCCCCGCCCTTCAAAAAGCCTGAAACGAAATCAGCCTGACCTGGTTCTGCTGGCATCACCATTTCTCTGCGCCCATCCCCTGCAATCCCTTGCAAAGTGAAACAGCGGACAGTAGCCTCTAACCGTTCAAATGTTGCCTATTTCTTGCAGAAGACTTGCTCAAGATCTAGCTGCCATGTTATGCAGATATTACAGAAACTTAAGATAGTCTCTCTTCTTTATCCTTATCACAAGTCCCCATCACAAGACTCTCACTGATGACTCACAGCTGATCCATCATAAGATCCCCTGCCCACACCTTGACACACCCATGCCTGAAACCCTTATAAACAGAAGAACACTGACATCCCCTAAACTCCACTGAAGATGTTACCTAGCCTGGTAATGAAACATTTGGAAACCAACCCACAAGCTCAGAGAACGAACGTCCCTCCTCATCCTACACCTGAGCTACAGATATTCGCTGCTATTGCTAGTATGTTTTCTAGCCCAATGTGGATCCAGTTTTGCTAGCTTCATCCAATGAAAGACACGGTATCTGTGCCTTCTTTGCAGCAAGAGATTCGAAGTTCTGCTGCTTCGGCAGCAGGTTTCCGTTACAGCTTTCAAAACCAGCTTCCTACAGATTTCAACTCACAAGCCTAATAGGATCCCTCCTTGCTTCATCAACTCTAGTTGACAAGACTCTCCACAATATTGGTTTTCAATAAGCACAAGAGTTTTCAAATGCATGGAGAATCCACAGAAGGATTAACCTGCTTGTGCTTGATGGCTGAGGTAAACTTGCCTTCACAAAGACCTTCAAGGCATCAAGGTTTCAAGCCCTATAAATAGGATGACTTGCTTCGGGTTCCAAGAAAGGGCAAGGTGGCTTAGCTCTCCCTGAACAAGGATCAGCTGCCACGCCCACCCGCCCCAACCCCAACTTCTCCTGCCTGAAAGCTGCTCATCTGGAGACTTACCAGGCTGCTGGGACTGTTGAGGCAGCTGTTGGCTGCGCTGGGGGCTGTAAGCCACCGGATGCGAGAGAGGCCGGTACTGCTGGCTGGAGTTTGGATATTGCCCAGGAGGGTAGTAAGAAACCTGAATCTGTCAGAAGGATAAAGGATGTTGTCAGAGAACGAAAACAAAGTACAAAAGGCTGAGAAGAGAGCAGGGCTAAGCTCCCAGGGAGTCAAAGGCAGGGGTTTCTGCCCTCATTACAGTTAACGTCAAGAGGTCCTGACTGTTAGCTTTTTTATGTAGCAAGTGTGGTTGTGTTGCATTTAATGCCTGTACATCACTAAGAGTTGGTCCAGACGATAGAACAGAAAAACAAGAAATCAGACAAGCTTCAGTGAGGGAAAGCCAGTCTCTCAATTGCACCCTCCAGAAAGAAAAATCAGCTTTACCCCTGACAACAGAAACAAAATCTATCCACAAATACTTATAGGTAGTCCTCCACATACGACCGTAATTTGAGCCTGGCAATTAGGGATGTTAAGTAATGACAGTCATAAAGTGGGTCAACACAGGACCCCCATTTTATGTCCTTTTTTGCAGCAGCAGCCGCCGCCATTAAGTGAACATAGCAGTCATAAAGTAAAGCAGTCTGTGATGAGGGCGGGGTTTTCCCTTCAGAAACCAGAAGTAAATGTGTTTCCAGACAAAAAATAATAACAATTATAAATTGCAGTCACATGACTGCAGGGTATTGCAAAGAGCTGTAAATGCATGTCAGCGCTGAGCGCCCAAAATGCGGCCAGAAGATTGCATGCCAGGGGTGGGGGTTGGGGAGGGAAAGTCATAACTTTGGAACAGGTCAAAAGTAGCTTTGGAGGAGGTTTGGGGTGGGGGGGGGGAGATCAGTTGTAAGTTGAGGACTACCTGTATTCAAAACACCCGTTATTAGGTGTTGCTGTTTTTAAAGGTATTTTTTATTAGAGAGTTAAAAAAAAAAACCCAGTAAGATTACATCATTTCTCCCTTTTTTTCATCTTCTAACCTTTCTAATCATCAAACCCAAAGATTACAAATTCATTGTTTTCAACGCACACAAAAATCCATAAAGGGTTTGCAGTCATTGACAAATGTGGTTATTGTCTTTTCTCTGATTAAAAAATCATTTTGGCCCTCTCTGCAAATTAGGTCATCTTCACCAATCATTCCTCCCTATAGGCATTTCAGAACCTTTCCATCTTTTTTTGTATATAATAATCTTACTGCAATCACTATGTAACTATAATTATTAGTTCTTCATGCTAAGCACCATTATTGCAAGATTGCATGATGCCATTGGCACCTCAGGTATACTTTATATTTATCTTTCAATAAAATATTAAAATGGCCCAAAAAGGGGACAGGTTGTGTTTATTCTTGCTTGCTCTCTCCCAGCTTTATGCAAGACCACAGAATCTTGCGAGATTTTAGCGAACCCATAAGCTCACATTTGATGCTTCATGTCTTTAATTTCATTTTTTTTAAATTATTTAAGCTTGACAAGTGCCACCTGTAATACACTTGGTGTCTGCAAGATCTATGTTGCAATCATCAACAAAGATGGCATTGTGAAAAGATACAAAAATAGTAAGCTATGGAGACAGACAGTGTAACCGGGGAAATGTTAAAATATGGGTGTAATTTTCTTACGGAGTGGCTCTGCATCTTGTTTAATGTGACTAAGTGAAGGCTGCATCTGTTCCTCACAATTGGAAGAAGATCACTGTTCTCTTATACAAATGGAAATAATATACAATACGGAAGGGAGGGATTATTTCTTTATTATGCTGGGGAAGATTATTGGTTGAACCCTGATGGAAAAGAAAGGAGAGGTAACCATAAATAAAACTTGGGAAGTGCAGTGCGACTCTCAGCCAAGAAGAGGGATGTGGTTATGCTCTGGGTCTCATTAGTGAAGCAATGTCACCGGTTCCCATTAGTGGAACAATGTCAGCAGAACGCACGCTTTATCTGTAATGGTGTCTCTTTTGCAGAACGTTCTCCTCAGAAATACAGACAGACCCAACCCCGTCGATCTTTCACAGGCCTAGTGAAAACCTGGGTCTTCCCCCAAGCCTTGCTTGACATGGATGGAGTCCTGCAGTTTGACGAGCTGATAATGTGATTTTTAGGGCCCTCACTCAGTTTCTTTTGAACTGAACTCATTTATCTATAGTTTGTCTTTCTTATTTTTATAAACATCTCGAGATGGTGAATACCTAATATTCCTTCCACTTCTGTTTTCCCCAAAACAACAACCCTGTGAAGTGTGTCGGGCTGAGAGTGTGTGACTGGCCCAAAGTCATCCAGCTTCCTGTCAAGGCTCAGGCAGGACTAGAACTCATGGTCTGCAACACAAGATCAAACTGGCTCTCAGTCTGAAGTTTTAATTTTGTATGCATAGTTATATTTTAGGGAATATGACAGCTCAACGGTTAAAGATGCTGGCAGCCTGGGGTTCGAGATCCACCTCCACGCAACGGGGTGAGCTCCAGTTACTTGCCGCAGTTCCTGCCTATCTAGCATTTGAAAACATGCAAGTGCCAAGTAGATTAGACACCACTTCAGTGGGAAGGTAACAGTGTTCCATGTGTCTTTGGCATGTTGGCCATACAACCATGGAAAATGTCTTCAGATAATGCTGGCTCCCTTGGCTAAGAAACTGTGATGAGCACTGCCCCTCAGAGTCGGACACAGCTGACCAGGAAACCTTTAATTATATTTTTGTTCAACATGCAGAATTACTTGGAGAGGAGAGGAGAGGGGAGGAGAGGAGAGGAGGATTTGCTCTCTGTCGAGTCACAGAAATATTTGTACATTTATTGATTTAAATGAAGAGTATCACAAAGGAGGCATGAATTCTGAAATATTTCCAAGAACAGGATAGTTCTAAATGAGAGAGGAGTGGCATACAATGGAAGTAAAGTATTCCTAAGAACAAATACAATCTGTTCTTATATAGCATGAGTTTATACAACACAAATTTGCTCATATAGGATTGCTCAATAGGGAAATGATGTCTATATAGCAAAAATATGCTTGCTTATACATATTTTTTCTGGGTTTTAATTCTGGGCTAACCAGAAATGGCAGATGAATGTGGAGAGAAATGTTCAGTTAAACGCAATGCCTCGCTGCTTTATTTATTGTCTACTCAAGTCAGTTAGCATGTGTATCCTACTCTGTTAGTGTCTATTTTGCTTCTCTCCTCATTTTACTGCTTCTTAAATGTCCTTTTCCCTTTTCCCAAAATGAGTAACCTAAGTGCCAAAGAAATGTGCTGATGAGAACATTTCAGATGAAGAAAGAAAAAAAATCTCAAATGAAGAAAAGTTTGAGATTCCCGTGCAATTTGACAGGATTTAAAGAATATATGACATTATACATGCTACTGGCCCACATGAGACACATTTTACAATTAATTAGGAAAAGTGCTAATAAAGTATTAGGATAATTTCTTGTTCTTGGGAAGGTTTTGGTTATGAAGGTGTTTTCATTCATGAGAGCTCTGCCCCATAAACTATTTTTTCTAGCAGTCCTGCTACATTTGTATTGCAGCATTATGCGTACTAGGGTTTCTAGCATCACAACTATTAAGACAATGGTTTTATCATGCTTATTGAATGGTTCACCACCAAGCAAGAACATGTCATGATTGTTCAATGTATCTATGGTTAAGGAGTGCTTGTACTAAAATTACAGTAAAGACTGCTTATGATGGGCGGGCTAATCAAGGACATGGACATGCTATTGGCTGAGAATGTATCTGCTTGTTTGTTTTTGTGCCTTTGAGTCAGTGTTGACACCTGGCAACTGCAATTTTCTAGGCAAGGGTTGTAGAAACTGTGTGTCCTTGCCTCCTTCCTAGGGCTGAGAGTGACTAACTCAAGGTCACCCAGCTGGCTTTGTGACTAAGAGGGAACTAGAATTCACAGTCTCCTGATTTCTAGCCTGGTACCATAAGAAAAAATGGTGGACAGATTATACGATGCAGTGAGGAAGTAGGGATCTAAAAAAATCCATGTAGTAAAGTCCAAAGAGAATTGAATTTGTAAGAGAAAGTAGGACAAAGTTTTACATTAATAGCCAAAAAAACCAAACCTAGCACAAACAAATGAAATGTCCTTCAGAAGCATGTTTACTAAAGATGAAAAAATGGATAACAGAAATGCAAATGCTGACAGAAAAGGTAGTAGGTAGCACGTGATCTGTTGCAACAAGTGAATTTTTTTAAAATTCAAAATGGCTCTGAATGAGTGTCTTTGTGCCAGTTTGTTGCATGCAAGTGAGAGGTATGATACATAAAAGCTGAATGTAATGAGAATGCATTACTAAAGAAATGTATGGTAAAACAAGATCTAGATAGAGGGGGTCAAGAATGAATGGATTAATTTAATGTAGACTGAATATAATTAGGAACCAGTATGAAAAACTGGTACTGGGAGTAGTCAGTTAGAAAAAACTAATGAGGACATTACAATTACAAATCAGGTCTAAGATGTAAGAGTGAATGGGCTGTTGAGGAAAAGAGAAGGTCCAACAAAAGCATAGTTGGGTGGAACTGATAAGAGTCTCAAAAAGGAACTGGTTAAAAAGTACAAAATATAACATATAAAGCCATGTGTAGCTGTGGCAAGGAGCAAGGATGGTCTACGAGTCTAGAAATGTATGGAGAGATATAGTGAATGGTTTCCAGAATTTTCATCAACATAGATGCTTCCTTCTCTCTCTTTTTTTTTTTACATATTTCTTAGTTCCTTTTAAGACTCCTTAAAAAGGATTCCTTCCCTTCCTTTCCCCTTCTTTAATTCCTTTTGCTTATTATTTTTACTCTGTTCTTGTAATATTGGGAACAGCTGTATGATGGCTTAGTATGCATGTCATTTCAAAACTTTCAATTTTTTTTCTACAATCAATGTTGACCATGAATTGAGAGCATACTGTTCTAATCTGTCATCTGTGATGATGTTACATGAATTCTCTTATGATTTCCTTGGATCAATTTGCTTATGAGAAAAAAATAGTTGGGTGTATTCCTCTCCCATTATTTTAAGTATTTTTGTATAATACATGTTTTATTTTTATACAGCTAACCATAATATACATTGTCCCTTGAATATGATCTCCCCCCCCCCAAAGATGTAGTGGTTTCTCCCATTTTTAATTCAAGGCCGATAGATGGGAGCTATGACTGCTCCTCTGTGCTATAATGGAATGAGTACTGGTGGACTGTACCATTCTGCTCTATCCTGAGAAAATCCTAAGCAGAAGACATTCCAATGGAAGCGCTACCCTTCCGATGGAAGCGCTACACCTGGTGCTGCTACTTACTTGCTGGGGAGGCTGCATATAGCTCTGGGGTTGGAGGACCTGCTGGGCTGGCGCCGTGTGCCCTGAGGCAGAGTAGTTGGAGGCAGTGATTGGCTGTCCTGGGGAAGCCATGATGAATCCTGTCTGCTGAGGATGCTGGGACATGATTGGCTGCTGGAACATGGCGGAGGACGGATCAGGGGCTTCACTGGATCCTTGGCGGCTGAGGCTGATCTGTCCAAAGGGGTTGCTGAGCTCATCAGCCTGTGGCCAAACAAAGGAGAGAGAAAAAATTAAGTAGAAATACTGGCCTTGGGGCTGTCTCCATTAGCATGCACAGAGTGCCAGCACCACCCGCCAGCACAGTGAAAACAGCATCAAGGCACCAGCAAAGTACACCAGTGAGCAGGGATATGAGCCCTTTTTTCTGAAGGATGAATAAGAAAATCACATGCACCAAACAGGTGGAAAGTGGAGAAAGGGAAAGAGGAAAAAATCCAACAGTGTCACTTTAGCACCTTGATTCATCACCTCACATGATAATCCTATACTAACCTTTATACCAGACATACATCAGAATTATTGTTTAGCTCCACAAATTTAAAAAAACCAGAATGAAAAATAATGAAGTACAGATAAGCATTTCTACTCCACTAAATTAAAACCACCACAAAGTGCTCAGGAGGAAATGATACTTCCATTTTTGCCAACTGACAGTCTAAATGTCACTTTGGAATTTGCATTGCAATTGTGGGAATAAGCTGGGAAAATGAAGAGTCCAACCTAGAAACAATCAAAGAAGACTAAATGACTACTTGGGCATTCCTAAATTATACAATGTGTTTGCTAAAAAAATACCACCAAAGTAACATATTTTAAAAGATGACTTCTACAGATGGCAGGCCACCACTGCAAACCATGCAAAATGGGTAGACCTTGATCTGGAGAAGAAGAGAGTCATTTTAAGGAATTATTGCCTGCTTTCAAATAACAGTAAAGGTGGGAAAAGGGAACAGAAACAAGGCAGGAGGATCCAAGAACTGAACATCAGCGATTCCTTCAAGTTAATTATGCTTACTTGTTATAAGAACCTACTTCCTGTGATACCTTTCATTATATATATAAAATGAAATATGTGTGTATGCGTGTGTGTTTTCGTAGATTTTTCACGGGTACAGGTATGCAGGTCTTGGCGTGTTCGGGTCTTTTCCCGTATAAGATTGAAAGCATCTTGGCAATGTTTCGACGAGGTCGTTACAGCACAGGAGGCTGATAAGACACACAGCCAATACCTCAGCCACACATGTTCTTACGAAAAAGCCAGCCAATCTGCAAACATCAACTCCATCAACCAATCAAGAAATGACAATACAGCCAATCTCTCCACCAGTATATATAGGGAGACAGCAGCTCTGATCACGCTTTGCTCGCACAAGCACAAAGCCGAAAGCACCAGCCTGAAGATGGCGTCGAAATGTTGCCAAGATGCTCTCAATCTTACATAGAAAAAGACCCAAACACGTCAAGACCTACATACACACACACACACACACACACACCCCTCCTTCACAATACAGTTGTTTATTAGGCTGGGTAAGACAATCTCTAATGGCCCCCCTAACACATACAGTCCTTTGAAATTCTCTGTGCTGGTGGGAATGATGGGAATTAGCTTAAAATATGAGAGCAATAGGTTATTTGGTCTTCAATTAGGGATTAAGATTTATGAGACTCAAGGGAGGTACAGCATACATCTGTGTGTTCACATACATGTCCATCACAGAATATTCCCTTTCTGGTAAGTAATGCTTTACAATGCAAGAATGAGAGTTCCACTGAGAATTACAATAATATAATAAGTCAGAGAAATTAAAGGCATGAAATTTTTTAAAAAACTATTTCTCAGGATTTTATCCTTGTCATTTAACTATGACTTTCTCAGTTCACCCCATCTTCTCAATTCCTTCATCTTCTGCCCTTTAAACCTCTTTGATTCTCTTTATGTGAACAAATCGTGCATTTTCCCCCCTACTGTTTACTTATTTCCAAAATCAACCTACATTCATTCTTGATTTTTTAAAAAATTTACCACACATACCTCTAAAGAGACCATTCCTGCAGCATCCACCTTGCTTCCCTTGACATACCCACTCTCATTTCTACATAAAAAAAATGGGGCACATGCATGGCTATTAAAGCACGGCCATTTTTGCTTATGTCAACAAACATTCTGTGCTTTGCAATCCAGTATCATTCTACCAGCATTTCATATGTTAAAATTTCTCACTTTTTTCATTTTTAGTAAGCATTTTAGCAAGGCACACAAATTCACCTATTTGCTTTTCGGTTCTATATGCAAATAACTTGCATTGTTCACAACTGCTTGTCCCCACACTCCTCACAATATCATATCATTAAACATTTGATGCAAATTGCTTCAGGTGTCAAATATCTGCACCTGAATGTACACATACATTTACATCCTTAATCAACACATTTCTAACATGCTCACAAATATTCCTTTATACATTTATCAAACAATGAAAGGGATGTCTACTTAATACTGAAGCATTGGTTAAATATCCCATTTATTTTCCCAAATGCTTTACTATATTCTTACATTTCTCAATGAAGGATGAATAAATATCTGGTCTACTGAACCCTGCCTGGCATAAAAACAGCACCAAAGTTACTAAATGTGGCTCATTGTCCCCTCTCTTTCTATTTCAAACAAAATACTACCAAATACCTTCTCAGGTGCTTTTAAGAAGCTAATGCCTCTGTATTTATTGTTTTTACTTTTGCCATCCTTCCTTCTGTATAAAAGAACAATAACAGCATTTTCCCTGGCATTAGGCTAAGAAATGATTGTTATCAGCCCATGCATTTCTACTTTCATATGCACTCAGAATAACTTGGATGACAGTAATTTGTATGTGCAGACATGCCTTTTAGCCCTTTCATTCATACTTATCTATGCACCTGTACTTTCTTTGGCGCTATTACATTCTCCCCCATGACATGCTTTTCCCCCTGTTTCATTTATTAATTTATGCTCTATCATTTATGCCTCTTGAGATTCCAAGCCTCAATTTTCTTTATGCTATGACTGTCATCATAAAGACTGACTTCTATTGCTCATCACAGCTTTTGTCAGTTAAGAAATATTGTTTTAGTAAGCTATAAAATATGTAGGCTAAGATTTCAATCATGGACATTTCCAAGGAACCTGTAGCAGAGGTGTCCCGAACCCCTGGTCCATGGACTGGAACCAGTCTGCAGCATCCCAGAAACTGGGCCACGCAAACAAGCAAAGCCCCATCTGCGGGATGCAAGAAGCACGCAAAACCACCCTCCTTCCGGTCCATGGAAAAGCCTCTCTGTAGGAACCAATCTTTGGTGCCCTAAAACTGTGGGCTGCTGTTGTAGCATTTCCTGCTACCATTGATTACAGTACCAATTTGCAAGCCACAAGCACAATCAAAACTCAGTTACGACCCAAGCAAGGTCAAATTACTTTATGCAAGATGAGTTTAAGATGGTATAATAAACTTAGAGGTACTTGGGAGGGTACTGAAACAATTGTACGTTACCTGTGTGTTTAAGTTATCTGATACATGTAGTCTTCGATTTATGACAATTGAGCTCAAAATTTATGTTGCTAAGTTTTAAGTGAGTTTTTCCCCGTTTCACGAACTTTCTTGCTACCGGTATGAAGTGAATCATTGCAGTTGTTAAGTTAATAACACAGTCGTTGAAGAGAATTTGGCTTCCCTGTTAGAAGGTTGCAAAAGGTGATCACATGACCCCGGGACACTATAATCGTCATAAATAGGAGTCAGTCACCAAGCTTCCAAATTTTGATCACATGACCGTGGGGATGCAGCAATGGTCGTAAGTGGCGGAAACAGTCATAAGTCACTTTTCCAGTGCTGTTGTAAATTTGATCATTAAATGAAATATTGTAAGTTGAGGACTACCTGTAAACTGTTCCTGAACATGCAGCCTCATAGTGGCAAAAGATAGCATCTGTTTCCCTCTCAGTTTCTCTGTAAACTGCTTGCTAATCTAGAATTCCTACTGAACTACTATTCAGTATATTATCACAATATGTGTTTGGGAGAATTGGGGTGGAGGGGCAGGGGTGACAGTGGAAAGTGAAATGCAGCTTTGGACTCTTATCATGCATGTACCTGTCCAACTGATGAACAATTATCATTTTTTCAATTCTCTTAGTTCTCACCTCCTAAGATCATAGAGCACTGCACACCAGAACAATTAGACACAAGAACAGTTTTCCCCCGAAAGCCATCGCTCTGCTAAACAAATAATTCCCTCAACACTGTTCAACTATTTACAAAGTCTGCACTACTATTGCTGTTAATCTTATCACTCATTATCACCCATCCCCTCCCACTTGTGACTGTATGACAGTAACTTTGTCGCTTTGTATCCTTACGATTTATATTGACCGTTTCCTAGTATGATTCGATTGCTTGTTGTACCCTATGACTAGTATTAAATGTTGTACCTTATGATTATTGACGAATGTATCTTTTCTTTTATGTACACTGAGAGCATTTGCACCAAGACAAATTCCTTGTGTGTCCAATCACACTTGGCCAATAAAAGAATTCTATTCTATTCTATTCTATTCTATTCTATTCTATTCTATTCTAT